AGTAGTAAGACCACGATAAATTTCTTGAGGAACAAGAATAAATTTGTTAGCCATAATTTATTAATAATAAGAATTTTGATTAATTTGCGCTTTTTATAGAGCGCGCCAGTTCAATGAGTATTGGGGTCAGAAGGGCGGCAAAAGCTCCAATACCATTTCCTTTCTGCAAAGCATGTTTTGCTCCCCTCTTGCTTCGAGCCCTACTTACGCCACGGACAAAGCAGGCATAAGGCATTAAGCGTTTCTTTTGACGAGTCGTCAAAATAAATCTGGACTTTACAATATTAAGGCAAATCTCCACTAATGTTAAAAGTTGCGAAGTACTAGCAAGTCGTAAAAGTCGACGTATTTTTCTTTGAGATTTTGTATGACATAGAGTATTTAGAAAACTTGAATTCTCTCGTATTAAATGACTAACCATTTTAAATTCCACTTTTTGGAGTAAAGACAATTTTTTCCTCGTCGTCCTTAAATATCCCTGTCCTCAGCCTTAGTGTTGCATCAGATGCAGCGTGCATATCGATTAATAAATAGCCGTAAGGTTGATTAGTTGACTGACGATAGGCATCGAGAAAATAGTCTAATTTACTCGGGAAGAGTTGTACTCCTATATTCCTTACTGCAAGTGCAGAATTTGGTGAGCGCATTAAGATAATGTATTGCGCATTTTGTCGGGCAACTTTGATTTTACGATCAAATAAATTTTGTGTTACAAATACGACTGCAAAATTTTGATGGTGGGATTTTTTAGTAAATAGTTCAGACAAATATTTCTCATCAATCGACAAAAGGAGATCATCAAGAATTAAAAGAAGTGGTTTTGGAAATGTTTTCAATAGTTCCTCAGAGGGAACGCCGACAAAAACGGCAACTCCAGATTTTTGAAGTATTGGCACTATACTACTCATTTCTCCGAAACAATACAGTATACTACTTGGTTTGGGGTCAATTAAGTCTACCGCTTCGGAAATAAATTTTAATAAGAAGGTACTCTTCCCACTTGAACTAGGACCTGAGACAATCATACCGAAAGGCAGTTTAAATTTCAAATCTTTATTAGAAAATGTTAACGATTCCATTTTAAATAATTAAATAAATGAGAATTTTAGTTTAGAAATTAACTTAAATACTAAGTGAGGCTGAAAAAATCAAAGGGGTGGTTGTAAATTTGTATCGCTTGGATTGTTTACTACTTCATTCTTAACATTACTTTCTGCTGTCATTCCCATTGTAACAGCCTGCATAGAGTCGAAGAACTCTAAGAGGACTGCCTCCTCATTCTCTTTTGTTTCTTTAATTGGAGATAATCCTGCGAGGGGTAGTGGTGGTATTTCTTGTTGCGGGGATGCAGGTGGTGATGATAATATTTCCGGTTGTGGTGCAGGCGGAGGTGATAATATAGGTGGCGGTGCTAATAATTGTGGAGGAAGTGGGGGTGGAGGAGGTGGGGGTAACAGTTGTGCTTCAGCTTCTCTCTTACGGGAATTTGTGACAGAACAAACATTTTGAGAACCGTATGGAATGTTCAACACACGACCCTTGTTTTTAATCTTAATGAAAATTATTTATTCCTTAATTATATAATAAATTACCTTGAAAAAACAATGACCCGGTAAATCGTAGATACAATCGAAGGGTACAAATCGGGGAGCTGAGAAGCGAGTACAATAGATAGTTACTCCTTCCTTTGTGACAATAAAATCCAGCTCGACCTCTGTACTCCTACATTCACGACATCGACCACCATTCTCAAAAGGGATGAAGCGAGGAGTAGAAATTCTCTCGCTAGTTAAGGTGATACCATTTGTTGTAAAATTGAAATCCACTTCTGGAATTATTTGTGTTAATAGAGACATCTTATCATTCATGTTAATTGCCATTTAAAAATTTTAAATGATTCAAGTATCAGATTATCGGTTTATATACCCTTCCCTTGTCCAAGGCAAAACTTGTTCATACAAAATTTCACACTCCAAGAATATAGAAGCCAAGCCGTTTTTAAAAACGAAGCCAAGCCAAAAATTTAAAAAAGTAATATAAAGCCACGCCCACTATTACACAAAAAGTCCATAAATTTAAGTTCCTAGTCATTATACAAATTTATAATTAATTATTTACAAATTAGCTACAAAATTTTTTCATCTTAAAATGTCTCAAGATATACCATCAGGTAAATATTTCTATAATTTCTTTCTAATAATATATTTAAGAAAGTGTTAATGCAAAGGTTGTGGATTCAGAACAGGAGAAAAAAGATTCTATTACTAAACCTTTGACACTGGTCCAAGAGAAAGAATTAGTTGTTAACAACTCTTCAGGTTCTATCAGTTAATTATTCTCAATAAAAATTTTTAAAGATAATAGTCCGGTGGCATTAAATGAAATAAAAATTGTTAAAAAACAACTTGTTAAAAATCAACTTTGGAAATTAATTCGTGGCAAATTCTTAATTACTTTCTATCTGTGCCAAGGTGAGAACAATTAATATTCTATTCAAAATTTAATTTTAGAATGTCAAAACAACTTATTCTATTCGCAAGATAAATTTTACGAGAATTCTTCTGGAGTTACAGTTAAAATAGGATTATGCCATAAATGTGTCGAAGCTAACAGCAAAGCTACAGATTTTCTAGCACCATACAAAAAGATTGGCAGCAAAAGAAAGGCAGATTGAATGGGATAAAATGACAGTAATTTAAGAAAAATCGTTTTAAAATTAAAATAATTAAAAAATTTCGTTGTAAAATTTAAACATTGAATTGATAAAAAAATTTAAAAAATCTAAAAGAGTTAATCTATTATTAATATATTAATATTACTACTCATCTAATATTATACTTTTAAAAAGAAAGAGTATATTATAAAATTTATTTATTTAAAAAATGATTAAAGAAATATATTTTTAAGGCCAGTTAAATCATTAAAATATAAATTTTTAAAATAATCAATTTGATTATAGCCTATAAAATTTTTAAACTTCCGTTATATTATTTTCGTTTTTTCTTATCATTCATTATTTATAATGAAGTTCTTTTTGCTTCTTTACAAATGAATTTTGACATTTTGTCCATTTTTCCAGTTTTAAATGGTTGAAGTTTCTAAAGGGAAAAATATTTATAAGAGAAAATTTCTTATTTAAAATTTTTTCGAATTTAATTATAAAATTAAGAAAGTTTTTTATTTAAAATTTTTTATTAAAAAATTTTTTGACATTTATTTAAAAATTTATAAGTTACAATTTTTTCAAAATTAATTTCCAATGGTGGGCATACACATGATTGTTCAATTGTTTGCAACTTAATTGAACAAATAGAAAAATTTTTTAGAAATATTTTACTTCAATTTGTTCTCCTTTATTTTTATGAACGGTTCTTTGCCTTGTTTTATTATATACTTGTCGATTACATAAGCAATTTGTACATATTGAAACCAACTGAAAAAAAATTTAATAACCCACATAAAAATAAATTTATTTTTTAATTACTTTAAACCCCAGCAATAAGATAATACAACTAAGATAAATAAGGTAAGTTTGAAATTGAAAATAATCATAATTTTTCAGAAAAAGAAAAGGATTAGTTAAAATTTCTTCAAAATATAAAATTTAAATATTAAATTTATTATAAAAAAATAAAATGTATATTAATATAATAAAACTTTTGTATTATCTTATTGCAACACCAGCTTTAAACTTTAAATTAACATATTATTTTTTATTTTATTAAAAACATACAAAAGAAAAAACATCCAAAATTTATTTTTCACGCAGTCCTTTGTTCTCTATGCAACCCTTTAAATTATTAAGAAAGGCGCATAGAGAGAGATAACCCAAAAGATCAACTCTAGAAATTCAGTAGGTGACCTTTAGGGTTAGCCCACCTAGTGTGAATCATTAATAGTAAAAAATTAAAAAACAAATTAAAATTTTATACAAGAAAAAATTAGTCAATGTCTCGTTTCACTTATTAGATTTGATGCTCTAAAGAGAGCATTTTGGATTCTGTAAAGCATTCGCCATTTGTCCATCGTCCACCAATTTTTTTTGTCCATCGTCCACCAGTTTTCGCGCGCTCAAACACTATTTTAAAATTCCCCTTGTCCCCATCCCCCAACCAATTAGTTACATATTCTACTCCCCATCAATTAGTAAAAACAAATTAGCTCAGACCCCTCCAACAATTAATAATTAATTAGGTACTAATTACTTCGGACCCCTCCCCCAAAATAATTAATTAGGTACTAATTAGTTCAGACCCCTCCACCCATTAATAATTAATTAGATACTAATTACTTCGGACCCCTCCCCCATTAATAATTTATTACCCCGGCGACAGGATCAAAAGAAAACGCCGACAAAATCCCCCCATATCCACAGGATTTCTCGGACCCCTCCCCCAGACCCCTCCCATAGGTTGGCGGCATCCCTTTGATCATCAATCAAAAGGATGGCGGCATCCCTTTGTGCGAAAATACGGGGGCTAACTACTTTTTAGCATTCCTATTCGTGTGTAAGTATTTAATGGAAATAGAGAACCAAAAATAAATCAAAAACAAATTTTTCTCTTTCATTTTTAATGTCAAAATTAAAAGGAGGGCGCGTTTAACGGACAGAAAATCAACAAATTTCTTTCTTTGGAGGAGGGAAAAATTTAGTTGCTTACAAGTTTCCGTTTTTCTCAATAAGGAGGTTTGTAGGTGAATTATCCGTTAGTGAGATGTTCAAGAAATTATTGTCCATACAATAAATTTCTTTCTTTCGTTGCTACATTTTTTGGGTACAGCCCAAATAGGCGCGCAGCCATAATGGCGCAAAGCCATAACTTGCTTTAAGTTTCCGAATCTTTCCAAATTTAGTATTAAAAGATTCCTCTCATCGGTCTAAAGAGATTGATACCAAAATTGATAAGGGCCGGAAATTTTCCAGCATATTATGGCTTTGCGCCGTTATGGCTGCGCGCCTACTTGGGCGTGTCCAATTTTTTTGATTTTTAAAAAATTGGTGGGGGGAATTCATATTTACATATTTTGACATTTTTAACTGTGGCATTTTGTCCACACATGGTTTAAATTTTAGTCAATTTTGCATTTCTTTTATAATTTTATTTTTTGCAAATTAATTTTTTTCTTCATTTTTTAGCATAATTTTAAATAGTAGAAGCATAATACAAAAATGGAAGCAGCAACTTTAGAAATTGAATGTCGTTTTCTTGGTGATCAAAAATTGCCTATTGACAACAAAATTGTCGTCAAAAATAATAATTCAAAATTATTTAATGGAAAAATACATTCACAAATACCAAAATTTCCAATCCTTCCAAATGACTACGAAATTAGAGAACTTTCAGAAGAAGATTTTGATCAAGGATTTTTAGAATTACTTGAACAATTAACTTCGACTTTGCCTATTACACGCCAACAATTTATTGAAAGATTACATCAAATGAGAAGTCAACAACCGAGGTGTTATCATATTTTCATCATTAGGAAGATAAGGTTTTTATTTTTTTGTTTAAATTATTATGGTTAATTTTTGATTTTTTCGAAATCATTTTTATAATTATTTGGGGCAACTTTTTTTCTAGTCTAATTTACATTTATTTAAATATCCAAAGGGGTTGAGAAATAAGTAATGTTGCTTTTTGTTTATCACATACGTTGATTTATGCTCTAATTTTAAAGTCAAAAACCATTCTCTGAGCTTCCAACCCTTTCGAAAATTGATGTGTTTACTGGTATGATCTCGAAATACCGTGATCTTGAAATACAAAGGCTTGAAATACCAAACATTTATTCAAGCGTTTTTGGGGCTTGGTGTTTCTTGCTCTTACAATTAGTATTATAAAACATTTCGTGTTTACCTACATATTAATTCCGACATGGATTTTATAGAAGCATTCTCTAACACAAATCTTTAAATCATTACAAATTTTTTAATTTAGCACCTGCCGTATCGTCGCAACCGCCGCTCTAGTTTGTGAACTAAAATTTGTCCACAATTGTGGGATGCGTGGTCGCGTTGAAGACGTTGTTGTTGACAGTTCAGAACGTGGCAAACGCTTTGGACAAATTCTCAATGAATATATTGTATGATTTAAATTTTACTGTTGGGAATATTTAATTTTGGGTCACTTGCTAGACATTTAAAAAGGACATATGAATATTTGAGACATCTGATCCCAGAAAATTTTTATTCTTTTTTAAAAATTCTCAAATTTTAGGTACAACTTGCTCATCATATGGGCGTTTACAAATTATCTCTTGAATGTAAAGACCATTTGATTCCATTCTATCAAAAATTTGGTTATCGACATGACGGCAATAATTTCCTGGTGCAACGCTTTATATAAGGAATTATAAGGAATTAATTTTATTTAAAAAATTTTTTTGCCTATATTCATATTTATGCCTTTATTCCTTTACAATTGTTAGAAAATAATGACCCTTTGTAGGAAAAAAGGGATTTTAAAATGGGACTTTTCAAATAAGAGGATAGGATGTTTCACTAATCTAACAATAAGTAACTTTCTCCGTTCTTGGAAATTTGAAATAAATCTAAAAAGGGGGGGGGACTATTCCTGAGGCATTAATTCCAATTGTTATTAACACAAATGACCCTTCGTTATATAATTTTAAATATATTCTAACATTGTAAATTATTTGGTGCATGGTTTTAAACACCCTTTCTTTCCCTTTTTTCTCATTTAAATTCTATCCCTAACCTCTTCCGTTAATTCATTTGACGTTGTGATTTTTCTTCACAAATTTTTTATAAGAAAATATACAAAGATTAAAAACAATAAATAATAAAATTTACAAAAAAAATTTATTAAATTTTTAAAAATAAAACGTGATATTAATTTTTAGACTTTCTTTTTAAAAGGGAAAAAGAACATTTCTGTCAAAGACAAAAATGTTCTCTTGTGAAAGAGACTGAAGAACAAACGTTACTGGAATGGTCTACTTTTTTTTTAACTAAAAAAATTTTTACTGGGAGAAAGTTGATTTTTTTGTTGATTTATTATATTTACTAGGGCATAAAACCCCTTGTTATTTTTTTATAAATTATATTTTTTTAAGTTAATAGAAGCTCAAGTGTTTAGTTTATTTAACTTATATTTATTTTCGTAAAACCAGAATGGAGCCAGAAATCAAGAAAGAAGCTGAGACTGAAGAACCTAAAGAGGAAGCTAAAAATGAAGATTTTGCCGTTAAAAATGATGAAACTGAAGTTGTTAATCAGGGTGAAAATGAGGAAATTGGCAATCGAGATAATAATACTCCGTGGGTGAAGACTCGCGAAGAACATGACAATAATGAATGTGGGGTGGAGAAGATTAATTCGTACGATAGGAATGATTGTAAGGATTATGATCGAGAAGATTGTTGGGAAAATGACAAAAAAGTTTATGCATGGAAAAACAAAAATTATAGTAGTCCGCCAAAATTGATGGTTACCTATCGTGAACCTGAAGGTTTGTGTTTAATTTTAAGGCAGGGTAAAAGGCTTGGGATTTTTACATTGGTCTTGGGGTTGTTACTAAAGTTTTGGAAAAATGGTACAATTAGGGGTACTACTGAAGATAAGGGTGCTATTTCTGCGGACTTATTTTGCGGACTTTTCCTTTCTTTCTTTTTTAATGTTTTGGTTCTTTTGCTTGTAGCGAGTTTTGCTTGTAGCAACTAAACTGTCAAAGGATTAATTTTTATGCCTATTTGAAAAATATGTGTTCACCATTAATTTGAACATTATAAACGATGATGAATGAATTTCAACTATGGATCGCTGATCTCGGAATGCTTCATAGAAAAAGAATATGTGATTGTGGATCAAAATGCGGGTAATTTCAAACCTTGTCCCCCCCCCCCTCCATTATTTTTATTACCTAAGATTGTACAAAATGGTCAGATTTCCTTCTTCCTCTCTTTCCTCTATTTGAGCTTGGCATATCAAACCAGAAACATTGTTAAAGAGAATAATAAAATTAATTGAGTTGTTCAATATTGAGTTCAATTTTTTTTCAGTTGTTAAATTAGTTTTAAATATAAGTAAGAATGTAATGTTTTTACACAGAAATTCATAATGTTATAGACTAAATCAATTTTATTTAATTCTTTTTTTGTTTAACATCGTTTTCGGAGGCAAAAAATAAGTGTATGACTATAAAATTGATCTTCTCTTTATCAATGTCTCTTGTTTGAATATGCCACAGGGCAAATAGAGGAAGGAGGGGAAGAAGAAAATTTGACCTTTATGTACAATCTTAGGTAAGAAAAATAATAGGGTGGAGGGCCTTTGACAGTTAGTTGCTACAAGTAAAACATGTAAAGGAAAGGAAAAGTCCGCAAAAATAAGTCCGCAGAAAAAGCACCCTTTTCTTCAGTAGTACCCAATTAGGGAATGGAAAGGAAAGCTCGTTATCAGAAATTTTTATTTTTAAAAATTGTCGTTTTAATGGGTCGTTCAATTAAATTTTAGGAAAAGACGGAATTATAATGGGAAGGAAATTAATAATTAGATTATCCCATTTTTCTGTCTAACTGAACTTTAGGTTTCAATCATTATTTAGTGATTGAGTTTACTAATTTTAGAGTTGTCTTAATTTTATTAATAACCGTTATTTTTTATTTTTAGAATGTCTTGACGAGAACGGCCACCGTTATGTTGGATTGGTTAATCAAGCGAGCACATGTTATTTGAATTCACTTATACAAACGTTGTATATGACACCCGAGTTCCGCAACGCTATTTATAAGTATTTTTTTTAGATTAACAAAATTATGTTTATTACATTCTTTAGTCCTTACTTGGGGGGTTTTAATTTTTGAGGCTTCTTTATTTTTTGAATATATTACTTTGAGAAAATTCCTTGAGTTGGTAATATTTTAGTTGTTTTCTCTCCGTGTAACTTTGATTTCTGCTTATAAGACTTGGGAAAATTTCGACAAATAAAATATTTTGACTTATATTTTCCACAATCTTTAAAATATTTGTAGATGGCAATTCAATGGCTCAAATGCTCAAGAACACAAAAACATTCAGTTTCAACTCCAAAAGCTTTTTCTAACTTTGCAAACAAATCAAAAATCATCGCTTGAAACAAAGGAATTAACTACAAGCTTTGGTTGGGATTCGAATGAGGCCTATGATCAGCATGACGTTCAAGAATTATGTCGAGTTATGTTTGATGCTCTAGAACGTTTATGGCGTAAAAGTGACAATTCGAAGACTATACAGGATTTATATGAGTTTGCTTATTTTAATAGAATTAATTCTTTTTAAGTAATTTTTGAAGATAATCAAAAAGTATTTTTCTTTTTTTGTCTATAAAACAATCTTTAGGAACTTTTTGAAACCTGTCTTTTCCTTGATTGAAATTTTTGCGAATTTTGAAACTATCTCAACTTTTAGTAGCCAGATTTAGCTTTTGATAATATTTTTAAATAAAATTTTTCGGCTTTTATAAAATGTTTTTAGAGGAACAGTGGAAGACTACGTTAAATGTTTAAACTGTGGAACCGAGAGTATGAAGAAGGACATCTTTCTGGATCTTCCTTTATCTGTTAAGGAATTTGGGGCTATAACTCCTTACAAGAGTGTTGTAAGTTTATATGTATTTAAATTTTAAACTTGTTAATTTGAGGAAGAAGCTTTGGATGCATTTATTAAACCAGAAATTCTCAATGAAAATAATCAGTATGATTGCTCAAAATGCTGTAGCAAACAAGACGCTGAGAAGGTTTATTTTAATTTTTCTTACATTAGCTATAGATATTTTTCCCTAGATTGAGTATCTCTGGGATATTTTTTTATATTAATCACTTCTTTGTTTAGGGTCTTCGCATCACAGAATTTCCTTATTTGTTAACCATTCAATTGAAACGTTTTGACTTTGATTATGAGACTTTGCATCGTATAAAATTAAATGATCGTATTACTTTTCCTGATTTTCTGGATATTAATGGACATATATATCGACCGCCAGTTCCACCGTCTCCATCACCGCCAAAAATTAGTTATGCGGCGGCAGCAGCAAAGTTACAATTTTTTATTTTTAGGTTTATTTTTCTCCTTTTAGGCCCAAGCCCGAACCAACAGACTCTGGTGAGATAACTCCAGAAGATCCATTTTCGTCGGCCGATGGTAATGGGGTAGGCGAGTTAGAATGTACTGGTGCTCCTCAACTCGATGTGTCTAGTTAGTTGCTTTTAATTTACATTTGGGTTTTTATATTTTTTAGACGAAGAGAAATGTTGGTTAAATGTCCATGCTAAATCAGATCAAGTTTTACAGCTTTTGGAGACTAAAGGCAAATATATTTATGAGCTTTTCTCAATTATGGTACATCAAGGAAGTGCTGCAGCTGGTCATTATTTTGCTTATATTAAGTAGGATTTTCTAATGTTTTAAAATTTTTAGTTTATTTTTAAAGGAACATGGATCAAGATAAATGGTTTTGTTTTAATGATTCTTCAGTTCAAGCTGCCTCAAAACATGACATTTATCGAACTTTTGGTGGCTGGTCTTATGGTTATATGAATAATACTAACGGTTTTTTTTATTCTTTTTTTAACCTGAAAACCAGTACCGGAGTTTTTAATACTACAAATTTTTACACTATTATTTCAAAATTTAATCCAATTCTTATCCCCTTACTTTTTTAAGCTTATATGCTAATGTACCGTCGCGTAGATCCACAGCGCAATCAAAGCTTTGTTCGTTCTATTGATTTACCTTTACATCTGAAAGAATTACAAACTAAACTTTTAAATGAAGAACGGGAACGTATTCGTTATTTGGAAGAATCTGTTAGGGTATTGAGATTAATTTTTTGGAAATTTTAAAATTTAATTTTCCTGCTATCTAGACATAATTATTTAAAATTAAGGTAGTTTTTCGTTGTACAGAGGAGCGCTGTAAACAATACTCTCCTATACAAGTTGTATTAAATAAAGACACGACATTGGATTCTGTTTTTGATATTTTACTTTCAAACTGGAATCAATTCTGCGATACACATAATGTTAAAGGAGGTGAAGAAAAGCCAGAATTAGAACATCAACATACTGGTTGTGCTCGTTTAGTTCTGTATGTTTTCTTTTTATATACAGTTTCTCTCCTATAAGTATTTTAGTCAATTTTACCTTTAGTCTGTAATTTTGAATCCGGAGCAGGGCGTACGCAATTGAAAAAAAATTCGCAGCCTCAACCTCAATTTTAAAATCCGTAAACGCAATTCGTAGAGATAAACGAATCCCTGATCGGTGATGAAGGTTAGAGCGGGATAAGGGGGGGGGGTATTTAGAGGCCAGGATTTGGATAATATTATTTCCTTTTATTCTTCCATACAGTTTTGATATCGTTCTAACATTAGTCAGCTTATTACCTTAAAATAAAAAAAAATATTAAGTTGTTCTATGCAAGAAATATTATCCAAAAAGTATTGGAATATGCAAGAAGTTCTAGTTCAATATGATGTCGCCCCGCCTACAAAGAACGACGATGGGCAAATTGAAGGTGGATATTGTGTTGGAAGCACTGAGGAGTTTAAGGTGTAATATTATATATTTTCTGATTAATTTTATATTTAGCGTCCGCTTTCTTCATTAATTACATCTTATGACCGAGGTAATAATATACCAGAGGTCCTTATGATAATTGACACAAAGGCACCTGATGCCGAGCATTTCTGCGAGTTGGGAACGAAATATTCTGTTAGTGAACAAGAACAAGAAGAGTGAGTTTTTCCATTTAAATAAATATTTGAAACTTATGATTTGGGTTTGCACAAATAATTATTCAGTACTTTTATTTACATTAGCGCCCAGTATTTTTATTTTTTCTCAAATAGTTAAGGAGCTTGTTTTTGAGGTTTGTGTACTTCTGTGTTTTCGTCACTTGGTCACCTCTAATGGAGTCAACATCTGAAAGAGTAACCCAGACCCCAATTCCAAGACCCCCAATTTTTTGATTCTGAAACATGTGTTTTTTTGAAAAATGATGGGCGTTAGCGGAGAAGAGATGTTTTTTAGGATTCTATTTTTAGTTTTCAAGCAATTATTTGAGGGTTTCTCCGAGACTAATTTTTAATTTAGGAGAAATGTTCGCGAATATATTCGAAGTGAAAAAGATATTGTTCAGTCGATGATGAAAGGTCGTGAAGCTACTGAAACCGAAGATACTTCTTTAAATGTATGATTTTTATACAGATATAATGTATATTCTTTTTTATTTTATAGAAAGAAAAAGGACAAGAAGACGATCAACATAATAATGAGCGTCGTCCTATTGCTATCGTTCCGCCAACTTTTAAGAGATCTGAAAAGACGTTGACGATTAAGGATGATACTTGTGAGGATTTGTTTTCATTTAAATTTCCTTAAGGTGTTATTTTCGCTAGGTAAATTTAAGAGATAAAGGAATCCACTGAAATAACCAAATTCCCCATTTTCTTTTAATTTTTATAAGGATTTCTAAAATTTATTATTAAGATGACAATGTTCCTTCTACTTCTAACTCGTTTTGTTCTGAAAATTATGGTTATCGTGTTGATGACCCAACACAACCTCCACCTTATACAGTTGCTGATTATCTTCAAAATATTATTTTTTCTTGCCGTGATAATGAAAAGGAAAGAGCTGAAAGAGTTAAAAATGAAATTGATGCTTATGCAAGAGAACAAAAGGGAAAGGACTATTTTAGTGAACATGATAAAGAAGCAAGGAATTCTCGTTCTAAAAGATACTTTCCAGATGATAAATTGGCAGATTTAATTAAAGTTAACAAATTGGAAGAACTTCTACAGCAAGAGGGTGCTGTTGATGCTACGGTAATATTATATTTTTAATATTTTCTAGGGAGTTGAAAATCTCAGAGATATTTAAAAATACATGCAAAAATACTTCGAAGACGTGGGTTAGGGGTTGAGGCTTACGGGATTGGTTTTTGGATAACACTCATTAAAAAATGCCTTTTCTGTCTATTTCTTTGTATAATTTAAAAAGGAATATGAAGGTGTTATACTAAAGGAGTCCCCCCCCCCCCCCCCCCCGTTTATCTATCCAAAATTCAGCCAATAAAACGGCATACTTTATTATTTGTTTACAGAAATCTGTTTCTGGTTCTTCAATGGTTTGTCATCCCGGTGGTCATGTAATACTTGGAGGTGAACAAGAATATGATGTTGAAGATGATGAATGTTGTTATCAAGATGAGGAAATAAAAATTGGGGATGAGGCCGAACAGAACCATCTTTCTTGTGGGCCAGATGATGATCCAATGTTATTGTCTTCATCGTTACCTAGCACTCCAATGGTGAGAATCTCTTTTAAAAACATTCTTTTCTTTTTATTTAAAATAATTATTTTTAGATTTCTCCAGTAATTTCTGATGCAAGTGGAGATGATAATGCAATGGATCCTAGGGCTGATGCAGATGGTGCCAAAACAAAGGAGAAATTAATGCGGGTTAAAATGTTTTTAAATCGAGATGGTCCGTAAATATTTTTTGCCTTGGAATAATTTTTGTTTTTTATTTTAATTTTTGGCAAAACAAAAGAGAATGTTAAAAAATAGAAAAAATAATTTAATTTTTATTTTTTGTCTACTTGCTGCAAAAAGAAAATATTTATTTTATATATTAAACTTAATTTTATACCAAAGTGTATCCAATTGGTAAAAAAAGAGGGTAAATTTCTATATTGAAAATTCTGAATTTTCCCCATGATTATTTTTAATATTTAGTTGATTAATAAGAAATTTTTAAAAAATTTAAAACTTTTTATTCTCGTAAAAGTAATTTCTCTTTTAACTTTTGTTATACACACTTTGGTATTTTACTATAAAAAATATGTTTTAATCTCTTTTTTAAATTAAAGTTTAAACAAAAAGAAAATAAAAGAATTTTTGTTTTTAAGTTTTAATTTTATATAAAATATATCAAAAAAATCTTTAATAAATTATTTAAAGAAATTTTAATGTTTCTTTCCAAAAACGTGGTCTTAAATAATAAAATTATAAATTAACTTATTTAATTTTCTCAAAAAATATTTTTTTTATTAATCCATTTTTAAATCTAACAGATTTTTTTTAAAAATTAATTTTTAAATAAATTAAATAGGTATGTAAATAAATTAAATAATAATAATTCTCTCTTTTTTTTAAACAATCCCCTCTCCTCCCCTTCCCTTTTTCATTTAATTGTCTTGTTTCCATGGCTTTTTAACTGCTAAATGCCGTCAATTACCTAAAGAGAAAAGGAGAATAAATAATTAAATGTTTGCACGTTATTTTATTTAAATAGAGAACATTTTTTGGTGTTTTTTAATTTAAAAAGTTAATTATTAATTTTTATTTTTTAATTTTAAACCAGAAAAAAGTTTAAAAATCTTTTTAACATTTAAATAAAAATTAATTTTAAAAATTCGGCAAAAGATTTTCCATCCTTCTAATGCTTTTAAATTTACTCACAACATAAAATTTTCTCTTGTAAGTTACCGGCGGTTGAGGATTTCTAAAAATTAAATAATTAATGTTTAATATTTTAAAAATATTTTCTTTTTTATATTTTTATACTTTATTTATTTTTTTTATTTATTTTAAAAAAAAATTAAACAATTTTTTTTCATAAAGTAATTTTTTAATAATTATTTTTTTAAAGTCTAGCTTTTTTAATTATATCTTAATCTTTTTTCTAAAAATTAAAAAACCATCATTTGCGTGATTATTAATTTTTTTACATAATTAAACTTGTTAAAGTATGTGTATATAAATTAAAAAAATGTAGGTAAATTTTCTTTTAAATTCAAATCCCAATTGGGACTGTGTAAAGGTAAAATTTGTTAAATCGAGAGTCTTTTTTAAAGAAATTTTAGTCCGGGACCCGAAAGATTATTTTGAGAAGTTTGTTTGCATTTTGGGGGTTTAACTGTATTTATTTAAATTAAATTATTGAATAAATAAATTAATTATTTTTTCTAATTAAAATTATTAAAGCAAAATTAATTATATGTATACTAAAAATAAATATAAATAAAAATAATTTCCCAATTAAATAAATAATTTATTTATTATTTTTAATTAAAAATTAATTTACAAAATTTTTATTACCTTAAAAGGAAACAGAGGGAAATAAATACTCCAATTAAATTTTATTTTTTTAAACTTACGCCTTAATATCCCAACCAAATTACTTATAGGTAATTTAATTGAAAATTTATTAGAACATTTTTAATCAAATTAATCTTGTTGGGATATTACGGAATTCTTTTATAATGTAAATAAAAAAATGTAATTTTATATAAATTTTCCCCTTCATATTCGTAATTATTTCTTTAATTTTTGATTTTTAATTAAAAAAATAATTTTTAAAAATTATGATTTAAAATTAAATATAATTAATATCACTATAATTAAATTCTAATTAAATTTTTAAAAATCTTCTTAGTTTTTCTAAAATTTAATGGGATCTTCTCTTTGTGCTCCAAGACAACCAGATAATAATAATAATAATAAATCTAGAATTATTACTTCTTCCTCTTGTCTTTCTAACGAGCAATCTAATCCTTTTGAGGTTTTTTAATTTTGTTTAAAAAAATAATCGGAACTTCGGAAAAGGGGTTCTTTTTATTGTATTTTTAAATTAATAATCAGAAAAAATATGTTCGAGAGAAAAACATTAAAAATTAATTTTTAGACATCATTTTCAAAAAAAGAAAGAAGTTGCCTTAGAACAACTTTCCAACGCCTTTCTGACCCAAAAGAAATTATTGGACAAATATTTGTAGATATTGTTAATGATGTTTGTCCAGAATTTAAAAGGATATTTGGTGTAGAACGGGCCCCTAAAGCAGCAATGCTTAAAATGCCTAAACTTGGGGGACATGCTAGTAGAATGGCTGATTTTATTGAACAAGTACAGAGAGAAAATTTTAATTTTTTAAATTTATTTTAAACAATCAGAAAGTGGAAACTTTTAATAAAGAAATCTTTCTAAATTTTATTTCGGATATGAATTAATTTTGTTACAAAAAGAAAGAATTAAAAATTAAAGGGGGGAGGGAGGGGAACGAAGTTCAAGTTTACCGAAATTATTTAAAATTTGAGAGAAAATCGTTTTGTTTAATAAAAATCACAAAGACCACACAAAATTTTATTTTTTTTAACTTTATAAAATATTTTTAGATGACTTTAATGATTGGCTTTACTGAAAACTTGGCAGGTGCCTGGCAATTAGTCAGAAAAACAGGTGGATTTTACGGGGGATATTCTTACATTTACGACCCAAGGCTAAACTAGAAAATAAAAGTTAAAACAGACACAAATATTAAATAATATTTTTTGACTTTCGGACTGTTTTAAAGCTTAAATGGAAATTGAAAAAGAAAGCTCCAAAATTGTTGAAAATCTCAAAAACAAAAATACCCTTAGTTTAGTAGCTTTTTTAAACGTTCGTTTTCATCGGGCGCGCAAAAAGCTACTTTTATTTGGTAGTTTGTATTTTACCTCACTTTTTGGGATATTCTTTTATTTAATTTTTAAAATTTATTTTAAAGGTCGTTTACATGCAAAAGTGCCATTTCTTGAACAAAACCAAAATCAATTAGAACGTAATTATATAGCTATTGTTAATGAGTATTTTTCTGATCAATTTATTCCTTATTTAAGTGGAGAAAAAGTAAAAAAATTTAAAGAAAAATTAATAAATTCTTAATTAAAATTAAGGTAGAAATTATTGAAAATAAAAATGATGCAGCTAAAAGTGAAGCTGATAGAAGGAAATCAAGAATTCAACAAAATTACAGCCAACAATTTATTTGCGATGTTTGGAGAAGATTTTTCTCTGTTAGATTTTAAATAATTAGAATTTATTTATTTCTCAAAGATCCCCAATCCTTAATTAATTACGATTAGATACTCCCAATTTTCTTTTAGTCACTTAAATAATCTCTCAATTATTCCAGATCTTATTATTTATGAATATACAAGTCTGACTATTTAATTAAAACATTGCTTAATAGCCAAAGCATATTAAGAGCTATTTCCACAAAAGTTTTACCACAATCAAGGAGTTCTCCCATATCCTCAAAATTTATTATTTTCGAGTTATCACTGATGGGAATCTTACTTATTAACAATCTCTCTTTTAGTTATCACAATCCTTTCTTTTAAAGAAATTAGATAATTATTTTGATAAAATTAAATTAAAGGTTTGTACATCTCAAATGAACGAAGCATTCGAATTAGAACGTCAAAAATGCCTTAATGCAGATAATCAAAAAACATTAGCTCCCCATCAACATATAGAAGAAGCAGAAAGGAAAAAAAGAATTAATGCTGTATTTTATATTTTTTAATGAAAAAAAATTTTTATTTTAAAGGAAAGAGCAAATGAATTAGAAGCAAGTTTACCTCAAATACAAAAACAAAAAGAAGAAGAATTATTTGAAGATCCTTTTTAAATTTTTTAAATATTTTTGTATATTTTTGCCGTTTATTTTCTATAAAAAATTTTTATGAAGAATTTAATTGAATTTTAATTTGTAGGTAACGAGAAGAAGAGAAATTTGAAAAAAAATTTTAAATGCAAAGAATTTAAAGGCAATATAAACTAGTGTTTGGCAATGTACGGTGATACCGCGGTTTTTCGGTAATTACTGTTACCGAAAATATTCACTTGCCGAACACTAATATAAAACCAAAATGAAGCAACTAATGAAGCGACGAACAATCGAAAGAAATGTCAAAAGAATTAACTTTCTGTCTACCGTATTTACATTCTAGTAATACCCTAGGGATCTTATAGTGTTTAGGGAATTAATACTAGAAACTTTAAAATAATTTTGTGTTTCAACATATTTTTATATTGTCTATTGTAGATAATATTATACAAAAAAGAATGCTTTCTAACTACATACATATTATAATTTTACCTTTAAATATTTATAATTAAATTTATTAAAAATTATTTTCCAACATTATTATTAAATTTCTAAATTATTTATTAGCAATATTTTCATTATATTATGGCCATTAATCGACCTTTTCTTTTCTTTTATTTTCCCTTACAAATGTTTGCATTCTGTGCGCGAAAGAAGATTTTTCTTGAAGACGATGCGAGGACTAGAATAAGGACAGAAAATTTTTATGTTCATCATCTCTCTCGATAAAAAGTAGGTAAAGATTTGAACGAGAGGGGGAAGAGAGAGAGAAGTAAAAGAAGAAATAGGATTGGGTTATAAATAAATATTTACAATGTATATTCTTTTAAATTGCTGCAAAAAAAGTTTAGTGGCTATTTTTGTTAAGCTAATATTTTTATAAAATAAATATATAATTAATTTTTAAATATTCAAATTCAGACAATTATTTTCTAAATTATTTCATTACATACAGTCGTCGACATAAAGATAGGGACAAGAGTAATTTAAATGAAAATTAACTATTTTTCGGTCGAAAAATACGTTCTATATAGCAATCGAAAGCTCTATTTATATCTCAGTTGACATGTTTTTGCATTTTTCATGAAATTGAAAATTGGCCGAGATAATCCGGATCTGCCGGATATACCAAATCCCACAGCCTCGGAAAAAATTTTCGGAAAAAATCTAACAAACCCATTTGATAAAGCATATTTTTGTGAGTATGTACCACAAAACCGCTTAAAAATATCTCTTTCCGGAGCAAAGATATGATTTTTTGAAAATCGCATTTTTCGTCTATTTTTGCAAAAAATTCAATTTTTAAGCGAAAAATGCCATTTTCAAAAAATCATATCTCTGGTCCGAAATGAGATATTTTTAAGCGGTTTTATGGTATATACTAGAGATGTCCGAGACTCTTGGTCTTGGTCTTGGAACCAAGACTTTTCTTGGTTTTTTTTCGGTCTTGGTCTTGGTCTTGGTCTTGGGGTGTTTGTCTTGGTCTTGTCTTGGTTTTATTTTTTGGTCTTGGTTTTTTGGCCTCTTTGGATCTAGTGCTTGGCCTTCCAAAATCCTCAAAATTTTCGCTTGCGGCGCTGAAAAAGTGAATTTTTTTGGCCTACCGCCTTCTAAAATTCAAAATTTTCGCCTGCGGCGCAGGAAAACGAAGATTTTTGGCTTCTTGGCCTTAATAATTCCCAAAATTTTCGCCTGCGGCGCTAGAAAAGGAAGAATTCTGGCTTCTTGGCCTTCCAACACTTTCAAATTTTCGCCTGCTAATATCCCATTAATCCATCCAAATCCTCTGAAATAATATAACTCATTGATTTTCCACCCGGATAAATTCCTCAAAATTCTTTGAATTTCGGATAAATTCTTTGAATTTCGCATAGATTTTTCGAAATTATAGGTGATTGTACTGAAGTTGACTGTGATCGTGTCAAAATAACAAAAAATAAACCAAAAATTTGACCTATGGGACCTAAAAATTGTCTCGAGTTTTGTATTATTTTTGGTCTTGAGTCTTGGAGTTTTGGTCTTGGTCTTGAGTCTTGGTCTTGGAAAAAATTTTGTCTTGGGTCTTGAGTCTTGGAAAAATTTCGGTCTCGGACATCTCTAGTATATACTCACAAAAATATGCTTTATCAAATGGGTTTGTTAGATTTTTTCCGAAAATTTTTTCCGAGGCTGTGGGATTTGGTATATCCGGCAGATCCGGATTATCTCGGCCAATTTTCAATTTCATGAAAAATGCAAAAACATGTCAACTGAGATATAAATAGAGCTTTCGATTGCTATATAGAACGTATTTTTCGACCGAAAAATAGTTAATTTTCATTTAAATTACTCTTGTCCCTATCTTTATGTCGACTACTGTAAGTACATATACAGTATTTTCTCGATTAATTCCCCTCCCTCGAATAATTACCCATATCAATAATAATCAAAACAATAAAATCTGTGCTTAATTCTTGTAGCTTTCATGCACATTTCTAAATTCAGGAATGGGGTAAATAAATAATTCCCCGTCCTCAACTAATTCCCCAACATATACATAGATGGGTTGAAATATTAAATCTCATCGGAATTAGTCGACGGTAGTGAGGATCCTGCCGCTCTGATTCACAAAATCAAGAATTTATTTTTTATTTCGACAGGATCCCTGTTATGAAAGAAAGAACTCTTAAATGACAAAAATTAAAAGAAAAAGTTTTTATTTGCTTAAATGCAAATCGTTTCGTTTTACCGATAAGTATCAGAATGATTGTGGTGTTTAGAAACAAATACACACTTAAATAAATATCTAATACTGTCAGGTAATTCGGAATGAAAAGCATTAACTAAATTTGCGCCTACTCGGTCACTTGGGTGTGTTCCGATAAATCTCGGGTAGGGGACGACGAGTAGGACGACTCAGAGAGAGTGTGTACCTCGTAAATGTAAATACCATAAATTTAATGCAAAGATAGTATCTTTGTTCGTTAATTACATATTCGAGAGTTATTGTAAAATGATTTTTAAATTTAGCCGGAAAATTTTCAATTGAGATAGGGGTCTGTTAAATACGGTATGTTGGTTTACTATAAAAGCAAGTGAGAAAAAGCGGAAACCTTTTTCGTCCAAATCATTCGAATGCAGTCTTCAATCATTGCCGCTCTGCTTATCTTCATTTCCTGCTCAACAACGATTTTGGTACAATGTCTTAGGGGTAAGAAGTCAGACTCGAAGAAGGAAGCTGCCAGGAAGAAGAAGGGAACAACTGAGGGAAGGAAAAAAAGCGGCAGAAAGAGGGAAAGCAACCAGAAATCTCCTACACGTGAAGAGAAAAAGAAGTCGACTCCAAACAAGAAGTACATCAAATCCAAGTCTTTCGATCAAAAAGAGCAAAAACCAAATAAATGGTACCATCTGCAGCTGCTCGTTCCAGTTACGACATACGTCCTTTCACCATACGGCAAAAAGAAAAAGAAGAGTGACCAGGCAAAGGACATCACGGAGAAGGGTGTGAAGACAGCTATTGCTATTTCTTCCGACCAACCTCCCGTCAAAGGACAACACAAATTCGAAGCTGTGAAGGCCGACGAGACTAGAAGGAATGAAATACAACAAACAGCTAAAAGTTTGGGGGGTCGTGTTCCAGCAGTCGAAAAAGCCACTTCAGACGGTAATGCTGTTAATTTGGTGGTTGGAGAAGCAATTGGCAACTATAAGGTCACGAGTCGACTTGGAGCGGGTAATAAAAACAAAATTTTTAATTATTTTCTCATTCCCCCTTCATTTCTAGGTGGTTGTGGTGTTGTCTACCGAGTAGTCTCAAAAGAAGGAAAGGATTATGCAATGAAAGTCGAGCGTACCAACATAGACAGATCTGATCAGCTTCTCCCTCTCGAGGCACACATCCTCAAACGCTTGCAGTTTTCTCCTTACGCTGCCCAATTTCAACAATATGGGAGTTGTCAAAGTAATGTTTTTTTGTGGTTTTTTTAAAAATAAATTGTTCTATTTGCAGCAAAGGAAGGCGGATTTCGTGTCCTCATAATGGGACTTCTTGGCCCTTCATTGAACGAATTACAAAAGCAACAACTCAACGGACGATTCTCAATCGGCACGATACTGAAGATTGGAATACAGGCAGTCCGGGTATGTAAAAATAAATGAATTCATTTTTGAAAAAATTTATTTTTGGTTATAGGCTGTTGCATTTATGCATTCCACATATTTTGTGCACCGCGATATAAAGCCAAGCAATTTTGCAATTGATGAAGTTAACCACAAACGGTTGTATCTCTTTGACTTTGGACTTGCAAGATCAATTAAAACTCGAGGAGAGATGAGTTTACGCAGGCCTAGACCAGACGTTCCTTTTCGCGGGACCCCAGCTTATTGTAGCTTAAACGGTTAGTCTGATAAATTAAAAAATTGTTTTCAAAATTCAAATTTCTAGCGCATAAAAGAAATGAGCACGGGAGACACGACGATTTGTGGTCAATTCTCTATATGTTGGTGGAATTAGCTATAGCGCGCCTTCCATGGCAGGGCAAGACTCGAATTCTAACAAAGATACTTAAAGAACAATTAATGGATTCTCATTATATGTTTGTAAGTATATCCAAAAAGAATTTCCTTTTTAAAATTTGTTTGTTTTTAAGGGATGCCCTGTTGCATTTTCAACAATTTTGATTTATTTACGCTCGTTGGATTACTATAGACGGCCTGATTATGTTGGAATTGAGCAAGCATTTTTTGAAATGCTGAGAGTACGCAGATTAAATTGGGGTATACAAATGGATTGGGAGGTTTGAAAAAAAAGGATAAAATTTTCATAAATTTTTTAACAATTTTAGGATCAACGACCTAAACAATATATGGGAGTCAGCGTACCTAATACCTCAAATAGCAGCAATAGATAAATAAGACGTAGATGAAATTAATGTGATAATTGTTCTGTTTGATTACATAAATTAATTTGTTGTTTAAAAATAAATAATTTGTTATTGTAAATAATTTGTTGAAAATAAAAGATTTTGTTTATTTGTTTGATGAAAAATTCTAGGTCAAACTCAAAAAGGAATTATTGAAAACTTTAAGGTCCTGATTTATATGTCTCGCGGTCAATTGTCTTAGTGACCAATAATCACTGCTTTTTTCCCTAAATATTTGTCTGCGTCCCAGTTCGGGTAGGGGACGATTCAGTATCGCCGATTCAGTATCGCCAATTCAGTATCGCCGATTCAGTATTTGGGCATTTTGGCCATAACTTTTTGCTCGATCAATATTGTAGGAATTATTATATATGAATTGATAGGTCTCGGGGTGCTGCATCTTTTTCATAATTAGACTGACCTGATCTGATCACTCTACAAAAAGTTATCACTGATAAACGACGTCACAGGCATAAAAAATCGGTTTTCACGCTGTAACTTTTTTTATGATCATCAGATCTGATCGGGCCAATTATGAAAAAGATGTCGAATCTCGAGACCTTTCGAATGATATGAGAATTATTCAAATCGGTCGAATATCAGGAAAGTTATGGCCATATACTGAATCGGCGGATACTGAATCGGCGATACTGAATCGGCTATACTGAATCGGCGATACTGAATCGTCCTTAACCGTCCCAGTTCGGTCCTCACTTAGTTTGGCCCCCTCAATTCGGGCCACTCCCAGTCCGGCCATCTCCAGTATTTCGAATGAAACCGTACTCGGTTTGTTTCGACCACGGAGACCCGCGCCTAATTGGTCGCGCCTACTTGGGCTGTACCCATTTTATTTGACATTTTTTTAAAGTTTTTTTAACTTTCTATTTGACACGTATAAATTCTGTTCTTTTTTGATGATAAATTAAATAATTTTAAATTTATTTTAAAAGATTAATGAAAAGCATTGTATGGTTGGGGAACAAAAAAATAAAGGAACGGAACATCTCCGAAGCAATGTCGGTATTGAGTATTCGGCGTCAAAATCGTTTCGCGCATTGGATCCATCTGACATAGCACATTTACAACGTGTTTATCCAGAAATTGTTGATGAATTGAAAGGTTTATTTTTTGTTAAGATTTCTTTAAAAAATTTGTCTCTAGATTCCTTCACTCGTCTTAAAGCGTCAGATGTCGACTGGCGTTGTGTCAAAAGCGAAGAGCGTCGTTTATTAAGTTGTTTATCTTCATTTATTCCTTTGGTTTCTGTGCGTAACCCCATTTTCTTGGTTTTCTCTATTTTCCATTTTTATTTTTCTTTTATTTTAGCTGCGTGGATTAAATCCAAGTTTATTTTCTTTGTTGTTTGAAATACTTCCAATTGACGATTTGTGGATAGTCAATAATTCGGCCAACACTCATTTTGCTTTGTTACGTCTCACGTTTACTTATGCACAAACGTTTGTTATATTTTTTGATTTTTTCTAAAAATATGTTTGGCTTGTGCCATTTTCGAATATTATTAATTTAAGCCTTTCAATTATTTAAAAATTTTTTTTGGGATTTCCCAAATTAAAAAATTTTTCAGACATGATCAATTTCTTTCGAGTAGTGAACTTTTACAAAATGGGCATTCTATTGGAGATAATTCTACCCAAATGGGTGTTGTTTCTTCTCCTTCAAAATCATCTTCCTCGTCTACTGACCAATTAACAAATAAATATTTTGGTCAAATTTTAGTCAAGATTTCTTCTCTTTTGAATCTTTTTGAATTGTTGGATGCCCGAACACAATCTTTGGTTATTAGTTGGCTTTTGAAATTAACTTCTGGAATTTCTGATCAATTTAGAGCTGTGAAAGAGGTTTTTTTTAATTTTTAAATTTTAGGAATTTTTTCCATAAAAAATCATTAAAAATAAATTTCTTATGAAAAAAACTAAAGTTAGCTTTAAATTTTTTATGTTGCCTGACCTTGTTAATTAATTTACTAACAAAATTTTATTTCTGTTGGTGATGTTTTCATCTAAGTTTTTTAATATTCCCATTATTCTTTTAATTTTTCTTGAATAAAGTTTGCAGGATAAATATTTCTTATTACGAAAATTCTTTTTAAAAATTATTTTTCAGCTTAAAACAGTTTTTACATTACGTTCTTCAATGCTTAATACATTTTTCAAATTACACAAATTTAAATCACCAGAACAACGAAAACTTTTTCTTCGTTGTATGTATAAAATGCAAACATTTAATTTACTTCACCAAGACGATCAAAGAAGCCGTCAATTACGCAATAATTTTATTAAAGTATTTTTGCTGAATGCTTCAAAATTAAGTTGTGAACATTTTCGAATTTTATGGACAAGGACGCCTTTTACATTTTTGATTAAGTTTGTTTTTTAATAAAAAAATTTTTGAAATTTTTTAAAAATATTTATTTCTAGATAGGAAGGGAAAGGAACAAATATTTTTAAAAATTATTATAAATTAGTGACATTATAAATTTTTTATTGTTCTTTGATTACTCATTTTAAAACCTTTTTTTACTTTAATTCTGGTATTGAAAAATTATTTTCCATTAGATAGAGGTTTCCGGCTCTCTAATTATTTTTTTCAATTATTTTTAGATTATTTGGTTTAATTGAATATAACCAACAACAATTTTTATTAAATGGGCAGCCTCAATTAGATAATTTTGAAAATACAGAAATTCGCCAACAGCAAAATTTAGGACAACCTTTAATGGAAATATATGAATTTAATTTAATTGCAAATTTTCTTTTTAATCAAAAATGTATTGGAATTGAAATTGACGAGTTTGTTTTTTTATTTTTAAAAATTAATTAATTTTTTTAAATAAATAGATTAACAATCTCCAAAGATTGGATTCAATCTGCATCAGAATTTCTTCGTGAAAATTTAATCCAATCAACTAAAAATGCAAAAAATGTTTTGTTGTCTGAACAGTCTAATGTATAACAAGAAATTTTTAAAATCAAAAAAAACTTTTTTTTTAGCAACCGCCACCTTCAATATTAAGAAATTGGCAAATTATAATTGGGCATTTTGCACTTTATTGTATTGCAAATAGAATGCGCACTCCTGTTGGTAGCAATCCTTTGGAGACTTTTACAAAATTTGAAAGTAATGTTAAATAATCATTAACCTTTTTTTAAATAAATTTTTATTTTTAGATGAATTGCGTTCTCTTTTTGCTTCAATATTGCTTCGTAAACCACAAGACGTTAAACAAAAGCAATCACCACAGGCGGGATTTGATGAAAATTGGAGAAGTGATGCAAAACCTGAAAATACCGAAAAAAGAGGTTTTCCCATTTTTCCCCATTCTTTCATTTCTAAATTTCTTTTAATAGTTCTGCGTTCAGTAGAAGATTGGTTTCGTGTTCGAATGCTTCAATATTCAATAGAATGTATTGATAAATTGATGTGTTTTGCGATACGCGGTTCAGTTTTGGAAATTGCGGAAAATTTGGCTTTGGTATATTTTTAAAATTGTTTTTCTAATTTTGATGTTTTTTGTTTTGTTATAGAATTCCCGACAATTTTTTCTTGTAAATGAAAGTAGTTGTACAGATTGGTTTACTCGTACAACACTTCCACTCATGGGGGTTGCGTTTTCCAACGGAAATTTTTCTCAAATTGTACGTCTTGCTGTACCAATCTTTAATGAAGTTGAAAAGAAATATTCTTTATCCGGTTGGTAATTGTTATTTTAAAAATGTTTCTTTAATTTGTTTCTTTAATTTAGGCTCTCGAGTTCGATTAGACTCTTCAACTGCTTTTGTCATTTGTTGGCTTATTTGCTCCTTTGTTGAGTTGGGAAGTCCTCAGGCAATATACGGAGTTAAACGTTTTGCGGAAAAAATGTTTTTCTCGAATGAACTGTCCTTTGAATGGTGTAAATCGGCTGCTTTAATGGCTGAGGCGAGGTTGGGAATTTTTTTCTATTTAATTATCAAAAAATTTAATGCTTTTTATTTGGCTTAATTTTTATAATTTTCTGAATTTGAAGGTTTTTAGGTGAATAAACTAACCCATGTCTATAAAATATTTTGATGTTAGATTAATAACTTTCTTTTTTTAGAATTGAGGAAGCATTAGAAGGCTTTTTGGCTTTTCACAAATTACAAATAAGTCAAAAAGAAAATAAAAAGGATGATAATGACGAATCTAAAATTGGCATAAAAAGTCAAGCGCATATACTTCGGGCTGTTGAGGAAATGGCATTAAGAGCTGCTTCAATTTTGCGAATTCCAAAAATTTCCAAAAGGTTGTTTGTGATAATATTTGCTTTTATACATATACAGTCGTGGAAAAAAGTATGGAAGCGCTAGAAAATTTTTTCTTAATTCTTAATTTTTCATTCAAAAAATACGTTCTATATACCAATCGAAAGCTCTATTCGTATCTCAGTTGACATGTTTCTGCAGTTTTCATGAAAATGAAAATTGGCCGAGATAATCCGGATCTACCGGATATACCAAATCCCATTTTTTCGGAAAAAATTTTCGGAACAAATTTAACAAACCCAAATGATAAAGCATATTTTTCTGAGTATTTTCCACAAAACCGCTAAGAAATATCTTTTTCCGGAGCAGAGATATGATTTTTTGAAAATGGCATTTTTCGTCTATTTTTGCAAAAAATTCAATTTTTAAGGGAAAAATGCGATTTTCAAAAAATCATATCTCTGCTCCGGAAAAAGATATTTCTAAGCGGTTTTGTGGAAAATACTCAGAAAAATATACTTTATCATTTGGGTTTGTTAAATTTGTTCCGAAAAATTTTTCCGAAAAAATGGGATTTGGTATATCCGGTAGATCCGGATTATCTCGGCCAATTTTCATTTTCATGAAAAATGCAGAAACATGTCAACTGAGATACGAATAGAGCTTTCGATTGGTATATAGAACGTATTTTTTGAATGAAAAATTAAGAATTAAGAAAAAATTTTCTAGCGCTTCCATACTTTTTTCCACGACTGTAATTGAATTTTTAAGAATTTTTGATGCGTTTACTTGTCAACCAAGTCTAGCAATTATTGAAGATGACAAGGCAACAAAATTACAAAAATTTTATGACGTACAATGGAAGCGGTTTGTTTATAATTTTTAATATTTTATGAAAACAATAAATGTGTATGTTTTTGGTTAAATATTGAAATTTCCAGCTTTGTTTTCTTACCTTATAATTTTCAGTTTGGTTGCTCTCTCATCATGGGATCAATTTGACCAGACCAGCATTAGTGAAAATCATAATCTTCAAAAACACAAATTCCTTGCGTGGGAGAATCGTGGCCGTTTAATTGACGCGGAGATTGAGGCCCTTCGTCTTTTTAAATTACGAAAGATGCGAATGTGTGGAGATTTGTATGAAGATGATGGGACTAATATAAGTGACAATCTCTTTGCATTACAAGTTTCAATAGATTTAAAAAGATTCATTTAAATTTTTTCTTTTAAGGATGATTTAAGTGATTCTGCTCATTTTATTCTTCTTTCCGGTACTGAACACACCGATGGTTTAGAACATTCACGTTATGCTCTTTTACATGCTATCTGCACTGGTATTCAACATTTACAGAAAGGTGGTGGGCAACAATTTGTTTATTCAAATAGGCAATCAATGCGTAGTCCAAGTAAACAACAACAAAGTCCGAGTGGAGGAATACCGGTTTTCCTAAAATTATTTTTGCAAAATTTATTTACTTTTTTTAAAAGTTTTTATTGGAATTTGATTTTGCTGAATTTTTACGTGAATGGAAATCAGAAACGTTTCATCGGTTAGAACTAGGTCAGATTTATTGTAGTTGGATGGAACGTTTATATGGTGGTCAACAAAAAGAACACAGCTATTTACTTCGAAAAATGCATCGAGATATGGCACAACTTGTATGTTTTATTTTACAATTTAAAAATTTCTTATTGGTCTTGTGAAATTAAAAAAGCATTATTTTAGGCAATAGAATCAGGCAATTCTCAGCTTGCTGCAATGCATTCTTGGATGACAACTTCTACTTCTCCATCACCACAGCAACAATATATTAATGATTTTGATCCTATTATTGCTAATGGTGTCAATTCTAATATTAGTTTTGCTGCTATGGTGCCCCAAATGCTGGTATTTGATTTACACAAGTTTCTAAGTAGAATATATTTAGAATTTGTGTTTTTAATTTCTAATTACCAATATAAAACCTAGGCTCTATTTTGCTTTTTATCTTTCAGCAGCAACAAGCATTTGCTCCTGCGATGTTTTCGCCAGGACTTGATCAACAACAACATTACTTTGTGCCTCAGATTTCTCCAATGGTTTTAATTAAATTAATATTTATATATTTTGCTATTTAAATTATAGATTCAACAACAACCATTTGACAATAAAATGATTTCGACTATTCCACCAAATACGAACCAAGTACTTTTATCAGAAGAATTTGATGGTGATTCTGTTAAATTATTGCTAAATGAAGTTTCCATCCTTCAACAATTTGGAATTGATACTTCTTCTGTTAATGGACATCGATTTGAGCAATTACTTGGTGAGCAACCGTTATTTGAGGAATTCTGTAAAGAAGTTCGACGAGAATTTTCCTCTTCTAATAAAGAAAATGACGTTTCCTCTTTGGAAATATTTTTATGGTGAATTTCTTATTTTTATTTTTATGCGCATTTTTTTAAATTTCAGCCAACTTGAACAATCTGCTTTCAAAGATTTTTGGCTTTCAGTCAAACATCGTCAATATCGTTTATTTGAATTGGCACTTCATTCACATTTACTTTTCCTTGAAAATCTCTTTCCTGGAAAAAGTCATGTTCAGACAATGGAAGTACTTTTACGTTTTCTTAAAATGCTTACCAAACAACCAGAATGGTTTGTAAGAATAATGAATATTTCTGGTGGAGGTGAAATGAATTTTTGGATGGAAAGAATTGCTGTAGATGTTTGGATAGGTTTTTAATATCGTTTAAAAAATTTTTTTTTAATTTTAAGATGTCATTCCACAATTATTTTCTTATTTGAACCATTCTAACTCAATTGTTCGTAGTATTATAAGTTTATTACTTGACACAATTGGTCTTCATTTACCACATGCAATATGTTATCAAGCAATTGTTATTGCTGAACAATTGGGTTTTTCAAATAATTTTTGAAAATTTTATAAAAAAATTTTAGATGATTTTGACATTTTTATGAACATAAAAAGAAATCAAAGTACAATAAAAACGTTTGACAATAAGGACTGTAATGAGGAAGTTAATTCAAATGTTGATACAAAAGAAGCAACAGAAGAATTATTGGATAATCAAGTAATTGTTGGAAATTTTTAGTTTTATTTTACATAATTTAATTTTCTTTTAAAGGAATCTTCATTAAAACATCAACAAACTAATCTGGTTGAGTGTTGTCGTGTATTAGTCAATTCACTCTCTGGTAGTCATCCACTTTTGGTTGGTGAAACACGAACTTTCTGGTTTGTTTTACAATGAATAAGAAGGATAATAAATTTGTATTGAATAAAATCTGTTAGAAATTAATCGATTTTAAATTATATTTTTAAAAGTATTTTCTAATAAATAAACATCTTTATTTTTAAGCAATGCTCTTAAAAGAATTGCTCTTTTGAGTGATGAACATTGGCTTTATGTTTTATCTCAATTCGATCAACAATTGAATCGTCTTTTTAGAACTCTTGCTTCTCTACCAGCAGCAATGCAAACACAACAACATTTAAAGCAAAAACAAAATATTTGTTCTTATTTAGAAAAAGTAATACTAATATTTTAATTATTTTTTTAAATTTATTTTTGAGGTTCATTTTTCTTTAAATGCTCTTTTCAATAAAACATGTGTTGATTGTGATGAGTTTACACAAAGTGAAAATGATCTTCAATTTATTGCTGATTTTGCTGAACAAATACGTGAATCTTTGGATATTTTAATTGAGCAAAATTCTGTTGGAAATTATCGAAAGGCTTGGGAACCTTTTAGAAAAGTATTTTATTTCCTTAAATTTTAATAATTTTTTTTCGTATTTAGATTCTCTCTGATTTAAATAAAAGAGCATTGAAGCGTGCTTCATTGTGCCTCAATGTTGCAAAAATTTCTCCAATTCTAAGCGAAATGAACTCTACCGCTATTCCTTTACCTGGGCAAGAACATTGTCCATTTAATGAGATTGTTACTTTACAAAAAATGTCTCCTATAGCTTATGTCCTTCCGACGAAAACGCGTCCAAAGAAAATTTCTTTTATTGGAAATGATGGAAAAACGTAAAAATATATTATTTTTATTTTCTAATTTAAAATATCTTTGCAGTTACACATTTCTCTTCAAGGGACAAGAAAATTTATATATCGATGCTAGATTGATGCAATTACTTCGAATGTGCAATACAATCTTCGCCGATCCAAAAAATCAACGTCAAATGGACACACGTCCTCCTTATCATACTGCAGCTACTTATTCTGTTACACCACTAGGTGCACGATGTGGATTGATTCAATGGGTTGAAGGTTCTACACCACTTTTTCAGCTTTATTGGAAATGGCGTGTCCGACGAGTGAGAATATTTTAAAATAAAAAATATTTACGTTTGACAATTTGATCTGGATTCGTGAAATTATTCCTTTTTTATCTTTCCCTTTTTAATTTAAATTTATTTTTAAATATTTAGGCAAAATTTTTGGCTGAATTAGAAGAAAATAAACTAAATAAACAACAAGGAATTCCAAATAATGTACTAAAACGTGGCGGTCTTATTGATATTTCTCATAAACAAAAAATTAATTTAACGGACAAATCAGCTATTACAACTTCAACTGAACTAGAGCGACCAATTGAGCATTTCTTTAATAAATTGAGGGCTGTGTTTGCTGAAAATGTTTTTTTATTTTTCATTTTTTATATTTTTTTATCAATTTTAAAGGATATTGCCAAAGAACGAGTGGCAGATCGACGTCGATGGCCCCCTAAACTTGTGATGCGTGTACTTCACGAATTGATTGATGAAACACCAAGAGATATACTTGCAAAGTAAAAAAATCTTGAATTTTAGTTTTTCTTATAATAAATTTTTAGAGAGATTTGGATGCATTCTTCTACTTCAGCTGCATGGTGGGAACGAACTCATAATTTTGCGCGTACTACTGCTGTTGCTTCAATGATTGGAGCTTTATTCGGCAATTCTTTTAAAATTATTTTTACACACATTTTTGTTTTTAGGACTTGGTGACCGTCACCTTGACAATGTTTTGATTAATTTAAATACTGGACAAGTGGTTCACGTTGATTGGAATGTTTGTTTTGGAAAGGGAAAACATTTACGTGTACCTGAGATTGTTGAATTTAGACTTACAGGGAATATTGTGCACGCCTTGGGTCCGACAAAAGTTGAAGTTAGTTTATACTTTTAAAGGGAATTTTTATAAAAAAAATCTTTGTTAGGGAATCTTTCGTCTCTCTTGCGAACGTGTTCTTGAAATGTTAAGGGAAGACAAACAAGTTCTTTTGTTATTGTTGGAAACATTCAAATTTGATTCAATGTTGGACCTGAGTTCTTTACAGGTTGATATTTACTCCTAAAAATTATAATTTTTTATCTTTTTAGAGTGCTTCCACAACTCGAAAAACTCACGAGGAAATGGCCTCAGAAGTTATAAATCGAATTGAACAGAAACTTTTGGGATGTGAATTAATTTATAATCGAAGCAATGTTCATTCCAAAGATATGGAAGGAATTAATAATAACATTATAATGGCTTCGGGAATGTTAAGATTGCCAAAAGTGAATACAGGAGAAGAAAATACAAATGATGAAGGAGAAGAATTAAATGAGGAGGATTTGAGTAAAGCAAGAGATCTTAAAAAAGAACCGACACCCTCTTCTGAATGGAAAGAAAGTGAACAATTGAGTGTTTCAGAGCAGGTAAAAGAAGCATTTTCCGATTATTTATCCTAATATTAAAATTGATTTAGGTTGATTTATTAATAAACGAATCAACTGATCTAAGCAATTTGGCGTTAATGTATGAGGGTTGGACTTCTTGGGTATGAAAAAAAATAAAATCAAAATTCCAATGTGCAACTTATTTGAATTGGGAGAGAACAGCTTTAAATTTGCTTTTAGGTAATTTATTATTTTTTATTTTAAAACTGACAAATCATGATTATCTTTGTGTGGTTTATTTTTTTTACTTTTTATGAAATATTAATCATTTTTAGGAAGAAAAAAGCAGACAGTTTCTCTCTCTTTCATTTTAATTAAAATCATGATGCGTCCACCATAACGAACGCTAAAATCCCAACAAATTTGTACAAGAGAAGTCATAGCACAAAAATGAGAATTTAACTGAATATATTTATATTACTGGATTTTTTATGGATTTGATTTATTTATCTTCAAAATAATATGCTTACCCCCTCTACATATTTACCTTTAAAATATATCAAGAATCCCCAATTCATTAAAAATATCCTACATATTTTTTCCAATTTATTATGATATAATCAAACAAAAAATTATAAATTTCAATTGCTGTTAAATTTATTTTTTTTTTAATTTTCTAAATCGAGATAAGGGTTATTCGAAAATAATTAACAGCAATTTAATATTATTTTATTTACTCGAAACACTTTTTTCTTGAAAATAAATATTTTGATTTGATTAAAAAATAAAGAATTATTTTGTGTAAAGATCATATAAAAATATTTTAATAAATAGGATTTTTAATTAAGAAAAAATTCTTTTCACGTAACAAAATTTGAAAAATGTCTTCAGAGAAGGACAAATATAAACTTCCAGAATGGATTGGTTGCCCTCCAAAAGGAACACATTTGGATGTTACTAAAGGCCCAAAACTTATACAGGTTAATTTTCTAAAAATTGTTTGTTTGCTAATATATCTGTTGCATGAGAGTGTTTTTGGATTAGATTAATTTAATTACAATTAATTTTTTTTAGAAATTGCTTATTGATGAAAAAGGCTATTACTATTTTGGACGTAATCCAACTGATTGCGATTTTGTAAGTTATTTAATATTAAATTATTTTACATGTTTTATTAAAGGTTTGTGAACATGCTTCGTGCTCTCGTGTCCATGCTTTACTTTTATTTCATAAATTGATTAAAAGAGTTGCTATTGTTGATCTTGAAAGCAGTAAATATTTTTTGTTTATTTTTTTATTGATCTTCCCTGATATTTTTTGAAAACCTGGAATTTTGCGTACCTTCTCATAGATTTTTTTATTCTAATTTTATTTTTAACCCTTCTGAATATTTTCCTGACTTTTCAGAAAACATTCACATTTTCTAGGCCATGGAACTTTTGTAAACAACATTAGAATTTCTTCACTTTCACCAGTGTTTTTAGACCCTGACCAGTGTTTTCATTTTGGAGCTTCAACAAGGCGATATTTTCTGAGAGAAAAGGTAATTTTAATATTTTTAAGCAGAAATTCTTTTTTTAGTTGATGAATAGAGATGCCGACAACGGGGAGGATGATGTCGAGATTGAAACTGGATTTTCGGCGAATCAATCAGAATTGGATGTAAGTTTAAATTTTTATTGAAGAAATTTGATTGAGAACACAAAAAGTTTATCCTTTTTTGAGAAATGCAAAGAATTATTATTTTTCTTTAAAGACCGTCACAGAATCGAATACAGCCCAAAATCGTCGAATCCCATTAATTCCGCAAACAACAGATGACGCTAGGCGAAAATTGCGTCCACGCCCACGACTGCAATTTAATGAAGAAGAAGAAATTATTAATCCAGGTTTTTTTGTTTTACAAATTTTAATCTTTTTATTTAAAGAGGATGTAGATCCTTTGGTTGGTCGTTTTCGAAATATGGTTAGAACTGCGGTTATTCCAACTTCTGGGCGTAAAAGAGAAGCTGTCGATGATGAAAATGAATTATTTGATTTTTATTTGCCAAGTCAACAAACGAAGAAAACGAGAAAGGTTTTTTTTATTTTTTATTATCTAAAAGGGGGAGGCAAGGGCTAACTAGGGGATCTTTTCAGAAGGGGGTGGGGGCTCAAATGAGGGTTGGGGTCATAAGGGCGCGGGGCCATTAGGGCGCCAGCACTAGAAACCGATACTTAGGCGAAACCGAAATTTATGAAAATTTTAACAAATTTCTTTAATATCATTGACTACATCCTCCAGAAATTTCAGAATTTTTCATCGAACATTTCTGAAGTTATAATCGATAAACCGCGAAAAATCAGGGTTTTTTCGGAAAATCAACATTTTTGGCCACAATTTCCGAAATTCTTTATCAAAAATTCTGAAATTTTTGGAGAACGTAGATAAAGGCATGAGAGTTATTATTGCAAAATTTTATCTTTTTTGATAAGCAACTCACTGTTTTATAAGCTCGCGCCCTAATGGCCCAGTCCCCTCAAATGATGGTGTGCGGAGCGGGAAGGGCTAAAGCGGGGTAGTGTGATTTTTTTTAAATTTTAAAGGTCGTAAGGGTACATACCTCACCGTTTCTCATTTGCCTAAACTCCTCCGACGGGTTTTATGTCTCGGGCCCTTCCGATATATTTGTTGCCGAATTTATGGATTTCTATTTACTTTATAAATTTTTAAAGATTGCTTCTCCAGCAACTACTCCAAAATCTGGTGACAAAATGTTTTCAATTGGTTCATTATCATTAAACGCTGCACCTGATTTGGATTTGTAAGAAAATATTTTTTAAATATCTAAAAATTTAAATTTAGATATTCGCCTATTTTGCCTCCTCCAACAAAAAATTCTTCTGCTGGAAACACTCCAGCAGCAAAAGGAAAATATGGGCCTTTAATGCCGTCAAAGGATGCAAGTAAATTGCTTGGATTTGCAACACGTAATTTTTTAAAGTTATTAAAAAATTTTTAAAATTTTATTTTCAGCCGATTCAGAAGTATGTCCAAAGAAGAAATATGCAAAAGAAGCATGGCCTTATCCAAGAGTGAAGTACTAAGTACTTGCTTGTTTTGCCCAAAATACGTTTTCCATCTTGATCCAATTAATAAAATTTATATGGTCTCAAATTAAATAAAAATAATTTTTGTTTTGACTTTTTTCCCATTAAAACTGTTGTTGAAAAAATTACTCTTGAAACAAGACCTCGTTCTCATTCTGGGGTTATTTAAAATAAAAAATATTTGTTTTTGATTTTTCCTTTAACTGTTATACAGTTGAAAATTTTGTTTCAAAAATTTTTCAAATTTATTTAAATTGCCAAATGTGTTTTCTTTTAAGGAAGTTTTTTAGGTTTAATTTCACCACCAATTTTTTTTTAACTTTACAGATTTTTTTCCATTTATATAAAAACTTTGAAACGGAAAAATATTCGATTTCAAAACACTCTTGGTAATTGCAATAATAATTTTTTGTTTTTTTTTTTGAATTTTCATTTAAATTATTGTATTTTTAGTCTCATAAAAATTTTTTGTTTAAAATTTATTTTTTTATTAAAAATATTTTTAATTTATTTATTTATTTAAATATTATTCAAATCTATAAATATACTGGAAATTGAAGAAAAATGACTGATTTAGCTCAAGAAAATGTTGAAGAAGAGGAGCAGCCTTTAAATGACGAAGAACTTATTAAAGGGCATTGTGTTGAACTTTTTTCGAGTAATTTAAAAATTGTTTAAATTAAAATTATTTTATTTAAATAGCAAGGGATTTTGTAATGGAACCACAAGTGATTACTACGTTATTGGCTTTCTTTCAGGCTGGTGGGCAGCCAGAAAAGGTGAATAATTTAGTTGGATTTATAAAAATTTTTGAAAGAATTTTGTACAAAAAAATTATAAAATAAATGTTAATTGATCAGCTTATTCAAAGACTACGCCTATGCTTAATTTATAAATTTTATTTTACTTTCTTCACTTTATTATTTTAAGGTTATTGAACTTTTATCAAATAACTATAATGGATTGGGGCAATATGCAAATTTATTTGGTTTTGGTTTTTTAAATTTAAAATTAATTTTTAAAAAGGTTGTTGGTTATCAGATTTAGAGATGGATGGAGGTTTTACTGAAACAATTAATAATGAACAAGAAATTGTTGCTTCAACCTCCTCTAATTCGGTATTATTAATGGGGGCTGACGTTCAACAGCAAATTGAGTAAATATTTTTAATTTAAAATTTTTCTAAAAATTTATTAAATTTTTAGACTCTCTGAATTTGTAGAAAGAATATTAATGAATTAATAAAAATAACCAAAGCTTCGGTCTATGCTCATTCCATCCTGTTTCTCTTTTTTAGACAGCCTCCCAAATAACCATTACTCTTTTAACATCTATTGTAAATTTTTTGACTTTCCAACTACTACGTAGTCTCATACTATAAATTTCACTTTTTAAGATGAGTAAATATTGGTTAAATAATTATTCCCTTAACTTTAAAATTCTACAAAATTTAAATTAAATTTAAATTAAAAGACGTTGCCCTTCTGTTCGTGATTGTTTTGAACAAACAATTAGTCAAATGATCAAAAAACAATTTTCACCAGACGCGGCAGATAAAATATTTGAAAATGATGATGGAACAGAAGGAATTGATTGGTTACCTGAATTAATTTGGTAAAACGAAGAATTGATTTTAAAGAAATTTATTTTTTCTAAATTAAAGTCATCGTTCCTGGCGCCGATTAATTTATGAATTAGCTGAACATTTTCCAAATTGTTTAATGCTTAATTTTGCTGTTAAATTAATTAGCGATGCTGGATTTCAACATGAAATAAGTAATGTAAATACTGCTGCACAACAAGTAAGAGAATTTAGAATTTTTTATTAGAAAAAATCAAATTTTGTTTAAACATTTGAATATTAATAGAATATTTTTATTTTGGTGTCATCCTGATTCCATAAATCGCGAATTTATTTTTTAAGTCAGGCACTTTCCCTGATATGAGTTGGTTCTGGGAGTAATGCTACTTTATTTAGTATAACTCTCCAGAAAAACATTTTTTGGTGTTGAATAAAAATTGATTTTAAAAATTTTCTGGAAACTGTTAATCAATTTCCTCCTCTTCGAACTTTAACCAAAAAATAATTTCTTTTTCGAATTTTTATTAATTTATTAAAATTAATCTTTTATGCTACGGTTACATAAAAATCGCGCGCGACACGCGACAGAAAAGATAATGTAAAAAGAGGAGAGAAAAATCGCGCGCGATTTTGTCGCTTTTTTCTAGTGGTTACATAAAAAGCGACTTCCGCCGGCGTCTTGTCGCGCGCGACTTTGTCGCTTTTTTGAGTGGTTACATAAACCGCGACTTCCGCCGGCGACATGTCGCGCGCGATTTTGTCGCTTTTTCTAGTGGTTACATAAAATGCGATTTCCGCCGGCGACTTGTCGCCGGCGACACTTTTTTTGATTCAAACATGTTTGAATTTTCGGCGACACTTTTTTGCGACATGCTATTTCTCGATCAATTCTGATCCGATTTTCAAAATTTAAAAAGATTCTGAAAGTTCAGTTTATTCTCTATCGATCAATATAAATTTTATATTTTTAAAGTTAAATCTTATGGGTTAAAATTGATTTTGAAAAAGGTATACTTTTTGCAAAAAATGTTCTTTTTTTCGATATTTTTGAGATATTCAGTATGCCATCGAGTATTTATATTATAACTTTTTTATCAACGGTCAAAAATTCTGATTTTTTGATATGTTGTAGAGCTTTTGATTCTCTATCAAATGATATCAAAAACATGAAAAAGTGACAATTTCTTGATGAGTTCCTCCCTATTTTGGGGAGGAAAAAAAGATAAATATTCCCAACGCCAGGAGATAAATAATTGACTCTGGCACATGACCCTAACCCAGACCCAAAGGTCAAACACGACCCCGGAACACGACATGCCCTGACTGGCAAACCCTGATCCCCAACGATCCCGAACCCGAAGGCTCGGGGAGACCTGCTCAGTGTTAAATTTTTTAGAATTTTTAAAAGCCAAGAAACCAGATTTCATCCTCTTCCAGCGCCGCAGGCGAAAATTTAGAGAATTTTATAAGGCCTTAAGATGGGATCCCGGAAAATCTCGTCGGGATCCTGTCCCGCGCCTACCTCTAATCGAAATGTCAATGGAAAAATTCTAAAAAATCACAATATAAAAGCCACAATAAAATAGTGGCAACAAATTGTCCTATACATTACAGTACTCTGACTTTCACGTGTCCGGACAAAATATCGAATCGTTAAAATATGGAATAGGCTAAAAAAGGGTTAAAATCTCGAATCGGGTAAAAAGGGGTTAAAATCGCGAATAGGCTAAAAAGGGGTTAAAATGTGGAATCGTTAAAATATGGAATGGTTAAAATATCGAATAGGCTAAAAAAAGGTTAAAATATGGAATCGTCAAAATATCGAATTGATAAAATGTCGACACGGCAAAAAACGATCAAAATGTCGAATTTTTTAAAAATGGCGCCAAAACTAGAATCCGGGCGTTACCGTAATACCGACGGTATTTTTCGATATTCCGTGTCGATTGTACGGTACGGTATCCGACCGATAAAATTTAAAAGCTGATCGGTATTTTTCGGTATTTCGTGCCGTATACGGTAAGATCAAACTTTAGGTCTTAACTAAAAACTAATGTACACCACTCTAATTTTTCCATATCAGGATCGCGTTATGTTTTCCGGATCCGTACGATCATGCCGGACCGGATCCGGTCGATTATGCTTGATTTATCCGGTCCGGTTTTACTCGGTAAAATACAATAAACTCTGGCAGAAAAGATTGCGCCGGACTACGACATAAGAGACTTATCAATCAACTTATCATCAATAAGTTGATAAGTTGATATAATCATCTACAATCAACGTATGGCACTCATCTGACCCTTTTTTAAAAGAATTCGACATTTTGACCGATTTTGGCCGTGTCGACATTTTTACCATTCCATATTTTAACGATTCCATATTTTAACCCTTTTTTACCCGATTCGATATTTTAACGTTTCCATATTTTAACGATTCGGTATTTTAACCCCTTTTTAGCCTATTCGCGATTTTAACCATTCCATATTTTAACGATTCCATATTTTGTACCGGAGCCGACTTTCACCACCGTGAAAATTAGAGATAAATAAATAAAGAAAATATAGTTGAAAAAGATAGAAAAACTAATGGCTCCCATACAAAATCTCTATTCCTTAAAATCGCTATTCCTTAAAATCTCTACTAGGGTAAAAATGCTTAAAATCTCTATTCCTTAAAATAACTATTCCTTAAAATCTCTACTGGGGTAAAAATAATTAAAATCTCTACACCGTGCAAATGGACGGTAGAGTCTCAACAAAAGTGTAAAATATGAACTATTCATTGGAAAACCCAGACTTGGTAATGGATACGGATACAATTGATTTAAAAATGGCTGCGGATATCTGCTTGTATCCGCTGTAAATATCGAAGATATAATACACGACTGCTTCGCTGCGGTCGTGTTCATTTTGCTTGCGGTGATCGTATCGAAGCGGCTGCTGTCGTTCCGCTGGACATGCCTGGGTTCATCCGCAGCGGCAAAAACAATACAAGCAAAATAATATCAAAAGATAAGCCAGAAATCAGAACAACGTTTCCGCACTGAACGTTGGCACTCAAAAGGCTTCCGAATGAAAAAATAGACATTTTATCCTATTTTTGGCCGTGTAGAGATTTTAAGGCATTTTACCCTTGTAGAGATTATGAGGAATAGAGATTTTAAGGAATAGTTATTTTAATCATTTTTAGCCGGGTAGAGATTTTAATGCATTTTAGCTGTGTAGAGATTATAAGGCATTTTAGCCCAGTAGAGATTTTAAGGAATAGAGATTTTGAGGGGATACGAAACTAATAATTTAGTGGTTACATAAAAATCGCGCGCGACACGCGACAATCGCTAGGCGACAAGACGCGCGCGACAGTCGCTAGTGGCGTGGTTACATAAAATCAGCGTTTGTCGCTTTGCGACAGTCGCTTTTGCGGAAGACGCCGATTTTATGTAACCACGCCACTAGCGACTGTCGCCGGCGACATGTCGCCTAGCGACTGTCGCGTGTCGCGCGCGATTTTTATGTAACCGTAGCATTAGTTAGATATATTTTCTCGTGTATTTCTTTCAACATTAGAACAATTACTTGAAGAATGGAAAAATTGTTTGGGTGATTGTCAAGTTTTGGCTTACCGTAGACATTTTGCTGAACTTAAAAGAGTTGCTTGTCATTCAGAACAAACATTTATGTACACACAAATGTTGTTAAATAATGTTGGATGGAAGGTAGGGACTTGGGGGGGGGGGGTGGGGGTGTGGTTGGGGAGATTTTTAATTTAAATTAGGGAACAGAGGAGAGGATGGGTGGGTTTTTAAATTTAAATTTATTTTTTGACTAAATTCAAAATAAATTTTTTGAACCAAAAAATAATAAAATTTCAAAAAAAAACTTTTTAATTATTGAGGAAACCTTTTTATCTTAATTTACAATCCACAAATTTACCCTTAATTAATTTAATTTTAAAGTGTAAAAATCAAAAACAATCGGAAATTTGTTCAAGTTTAGCCCAACAATTAAGACTTGCTTTTGAAGGGAAAAAAGAAGATATTGAAGGTGTACATATTGGGATTATACAATCTTGTATAGACAAAATACCCTTACATATAATTCAAGTATATTTTAAGTAAAAGAAGGATAACTTCTTTTATTTTTTAGGCAATGCAAACAATGTTTGCCAAAGGTTTAAACCCTGCAGATATTACCCAACTTTATCAAGTACTTTCTTTAAATTAAAATTCAAAATTTCATTTCAGGCATATTCAAATCCAAACCCGCCCCCAGTTGTTTTAATTAGAGATCCTTTTTTCACAGAAATGCTTATTGATGGACTTTTCTCTGCTGTTGGAGCTAAAATACATTTAGAACACAGACCTAAATATATTTTTTTGGTGATTATTTATTTAAAATTAAAAAAAAATAATTTAAAATTTAGTTGTCTTATTCAAGTTGTGTAATTGAAACAATTAATTCGGAAGGAATTTTGCCTAAAAGAAAGGTAAAATATTTTAAATAAATTGAAAAAAATTATTTTTTTTTAAAAGCAAAATAAATTAGAATTAAATTCTACTAGAGAGAAAATGCAACAACTTGTTGATATTTTATATTCTTATGAAGTAAATTTTTAAATTTAAAATAAATAAATAAATAATTACCTAAAACAAATACAGGGTGAGGCAAATTAACCTTTTCTTTTTTTCATAACTTTCTTCGAACTTAATGAATAGCCTACGTTATATATTTTAAAAGCAATTTTGATATAAACAAGTTTGCTAAAGTGTTGAGAATAGAACATAAAAAGAATTATCAATTTCTATTAGTTTCGAAGAAAGTTATGGCAAAAAGAAAAAGTGCCTTAATTTGCCGCACCCGTTAAATAAATTTAAATCTTTTTTCTTTTTCTCCCATAAAAAGGATTTATTGTTGTCATTAGAACAATTATTAGAATTAATTAAATTGCCCGTTTTGTCTGCTGCTATTCTTCATTATCTACGGACATATCTAATTCGTGAAGACGGTGTTTTGACAGAACCAATACCTTTACATTATGTTTTGATTGACAAAATTGCTGAAAACCATTTTAATTTACATGAAAGGTATCAGAATATAAATCAGAATTTTTATTTTAAAATTCTGATTGTTTTATTTATTTAAAAATTTTATTAAAAAAACCAGAAATTCTGAAACAATTTTCCGGAAGTAATTAAAGTTTTCCGGAAATTAGAGATAAAAATATACATAGAAAATAGAGAAAAATAATTTTTTGTTTGAAAATCGTATCCCCTCAAAATCTCTATTCCTTAAAATCTCTACTGGGCTAAAATGCCTTATAATCTCTACACAGCTAAAATGCACTAAAATCTCTACTCGGCTAAAAATGATTAAAATAACTATTCCTTAAAATCTCTATTCCTCATAATCTCTACACGGGAAAAATGCCTTAAAATCTCTACACTGCCAAATATAGGATAAAATGTCTATTTTTCATTGAAGCCTTTTGAGTACCAACGTTAAGTGCGGAAACATTGTTCTGATTTCTAGATTATCTTTTGATATTATTTTGCTTGTATAGTTTTTGCCGGTGCGGATGAATGGCATGGCATGTCTAGCGGGACGACAGCAGCCGCTTCGATACGATCAACGCAAGGAAAATGAACACGACCGCAGTGAAGCAGTCGTGTCTTATATTTTCGATATTTAAGGCGGATACAGGCGGATATGGAAGCAATTTTAAACCAAATGTATCCATATCCATTAACAAGTCTGGTTTTTCCAGCGAAAGATTCAGATGGTACTTTTGTTGAGACTCAACCGTCAATTTGCGCGGTGTAGAGATTTTAATTATTTTTACCCCAGTAGAGATTTTAAGGAATAGTTATTTTAAGGAATAGAGATTTTAAGCATTTTTAGCCCAGTAGAGATTTTAAGGAATAGCGATTTTAAGGAATAGAGATTTTGTATGGGAGCCTTGAAAATTGTTTGTCTAATTTATTTTATTTTAAAAAGAGTCTTTAAATTACTCTGTGCTCTCTACGATCATTTATCTGGTCAGAATGAAGTTGCAGAAATTATAATGGAAAGACAAAGACAAATTGTTGACCGTTTTGTAAATCTATTATTTTTCGGAATGGCTATACCTGTTTTGGTAGTTTTTGAAAAAAAATTTTTTAAATTATTTTTTAAGGAAAAAATTGTTGGAATGTTTAAATCTGGGTATATTGACGTTTCTCTTGTTAGATATTTTGGTATTGAAGTACTTGAATTAGTTGAACAGCCATACTCCCCTCAATTTATATCTGCTTTACTTCCAATTGTGACAAATAAAGAAGTGGGTAGTTTTAGTTTGAAAAAGGGGGAAAACTAAGAGAATTTTTATATTTAATAAGAAGAACAAAATTTCAAACAAAAATCCCTTATTTTAATTTTACAAGTACTTAAATGGGGATATAAGAATGATATTTTTTTAACAAATACTTGAAAAATATTTTAGTAAATTAAACAGACATTTTATAAGAATTAAAGAATTTATTAAGTATAAAAATATATTTTTAAGTTAATCTAAACATTGTGTAAATCCGGATTAATTTAAATTTTATTTTTAATTTTAAAAGTTTTGTAAGAAACTGATGGCTTTGACTTTTCGAAATAATTTTATTAAATTAATAATATTTTGGGAATTAATATAATATAATAAAAATAAGATTTAATTTAAAAAATTTCTTTAAAGGTATTTGATAGAGCAACATTTGAAAAACATCCAATCGCAAAAGAATTTATGTTATTAAATTGTGGTAATAGTAAATAATAAGTTCTTTTGTTTTTTGTTTGTAAAAATTATTTTTGAATTAAATTTTGAAAAATTTAAAATAAGTTTTGTGCATACATATAACTTTTTATATTATTGTTTGAACTACTCATTTTCATGAATTTCAGGTTTCCGGTTTTTAAAATTTCGTAAAAACTGTTAATTTTTGTGGCAAAAATTATTAAATATCTATTAAATATTGAATTATTAAAAATTTTAATATTAGACTGATTTTAAAAGACAAAAATCTAAACTGTCACTTTATTAATAAAATAAAAATTATTAATTTTTTTTCTAAATTAAAAATTAATTTTTTGGTAATAAAATATAAACTATAAATTTTAAAATTAATCCTGTGAGGCAAAATTCTAAAATTATATTGTGTACGTATATATTAACACATCTGCTTTAAATTTATTTTAAAATTTAAATTTTATTTAAAAAAGGAGGGCCTTTAAGGCGCTGACTTTTAAAGTTTTAAAATATTTTGATTAAATTTTTGATATTTTAAGCATCTTTAAAAATTCAAAAAAATATTTTTTAATTAAAAATGAAAATGTAAAGTTTAAAAAAATAACAGAAAATATTTTTAAAATGTAAAAATCTAAGAAGAAGGACCTCCTAGTAAATTTATGAAAATATGTATATTAATTATCTAAATAAAAAATTAAAATTTTAAAAATTTAATTTTTATTTAAAAAAGGTGGGCTTCAAATTTTTTTAATTTTCTCCACTGCGCCAAAACGTTCCCTAATAATTAAAAAAATTAATTCTCAATTAATTCAGAATTCAAATTAAAAATATTTTACACGATGGCAATTTTTAATTTTTTTATTTTAATTTTAATATTTATTCATTTGTTATATTTAAATACAAACTACATATAAATTAATTTATTTAAAGTAATTTTAATCCCCATAATTTTCATTTTAATTATCAAAATTTAAAAAATGTCCTCCTCCTCCTCCCTCCTTTTCTCCTCTCTTTTATTAATTACCTCAACGTTAATTGTTTCTCAAAAGATTGGAACAATTCAAATGAATTTACACCAATTTGCTCGTTGGGGAAGTATTAAAATGGGGGATCAAAGTAATTAATTGTGAAATAAATTAAATTTTAATTTTAAATAAATTGAGGGGAATTTATTTGGCATTTTTTTAAATTAAAAAAAATTCCCCAAAGAATTTCCGCTAGTAGCCTCTCTAAATAAATATATCTCTTATTTATTAAAAATTTATTTTTCAAAGCTTTCCAAGTTGCATTCAATATTGGCTCTCCAAATTCTTGGCTTATAGCTAAAAATGCTTCATTTAATTGGAACGAGCAAGGGTTACAACGTAAAAAAGTTAGATATAATGGAAGGTAAGTATTGAAATAAAAATTATTTTATAAAATATTTTCAAGTTCAAAAACATCAAAATCTTTGGGAAAGAAATTTGATTTTGGTGGCCCTGTTGGGAATTTGTATACTGACACATTGACGGTAATTTTAAATAAAAATTATTTAATTTAAAGAAATTCAAGCTTCTTTCAATTCTTATAAATTCTTTTTACTTTCAATTCCTCTTAAAATTCTTTTCAATTTAGATAGACTCCGTCCAAATACCTCAATTTCCTTTTGGAGCAGTTACTTCAGGAATTCCCAGCCAATATCAAGATCCATCTGGATATGATGCTTTGTGCCCCATCGATGGAGAATTTGGACTTTCCCCCGCTACTGGAACTTCATCTTTAAATTCATTAACTAAATCTTTGGACAAACCAATTGTTTCTATATTTACAACTAAGTAATTAACTATATTACTTTTTGAGAATACAAATTCTCTCTTTGCCAAAACTTAAACTTAGAAAATACTTTTTCAGTAACCCCCCTTCTTTTGTGAAATATTTTTATTTAAATTTCCTTCTAAAATATCCAAAATTAAAATTAATAAAATTAATTTTAAATTACATTTTAAGAGTCGGTACAGGTGATGATAATGCTGGTTCAATAACTTTTGGTTCAGAAAATGTTAAGAACTGTAAACCAAAATATAGCTATGTTCCATTAGCAGAACGTTCAAATTGGGTTATTGGAGTTCAATCAATTAACATTAATGGACAACCTTCATTAAATCCTTTAGGCCCAACAAAATTAAAAATTACAAATTCCGGTCTTTACATGTATGGACCAAAAAAGCAATTAGATATTTTGGCAAAACAATTAGGATTTAATATTCCAAAAGATTCTGGCACATTTTACACAAAAGGATCGTGTAATGGAATGGAAAAAATGCCAAATATAAATATTAAAGTTGGAGATAATAAAAAACAGGCACAAATTGTTTTGAAACCAAAACAATATATGGACGTGGTTAGCCCGTTAATTCTGAAGAATTTTAATTAAATTTCCTTTTTTTAGTCTCCAATCGGAGAATGCCGTTTTCTATTTATGACAAGTGAAGGTTATTCCCCTTCTGAAGACAACAATTATTGGAGTATGGGAGCTCAATTTTTATTAGGGCGTTGTGTTGCCGTTAATTGGGTTGAGGGAACTATGGGATTTTCTGATGCTAATTAAATAATTAAAGAAATTGATGAAAGGGAAGTAAAGAAATAATGAAATAAAATTAAATAAATGTAATAAATTATAATTATGTAAATGATTTCTATAAAGAATTAATTCAATTATTTATTGGTAGGCACGAAAAAAGCAGCAAACCCTCCAATAAATTCTCTCCTTTTAAAAGGCGCATTTACCTAATAAAATTTTTTCTAAAAAATGAATTTTGATAAGTTTATAGCAAATTTCAAGGGCTTTCGAAAAAGTCAAAAATAAAAATTTAAAACTAGAGTTCGGCTCGATACGATTTTTTATCGATAATTATCGATATTTTTCGATATTTTTTTCGATATTATCGAAAAAATATCGACCGACCTCTTCGGCCGATCTCTATTTAAAACAATCCATAAAGGATTGAAAATATTTTTTGAATTTGAAAAAACTGTGTTTTACTTTGATTCAGGACATGGAAACCTCGACCCTGAAACCTCGAATCTCGACATAAATACCTATGTGATTCATTTAAAAGTAAAGAAGGTGTTTCTTCTTTTAAACATTTTATATTTAAACTATCATCAATTAAATGATAAAGAAGACATTTTTACTATGTTATAAAGTTTTTAAAAATCTTCAAATAAATCTCCAATTTAATGTTTTTATTTGTATTTTTCATTTTTCTATGTAAAAATTTTGTTTGGGAAATTAGTGATAACTAGTTGATTACTCAATCTACAGTACTCTCAACTTGCCCTTTTCCTTTTTTATGATCTTGGCGTTTTGTCCTTTTAATTTTTTTGTCAATTATTTTATTTTTTTCTTTGTTTTTTCTTTTTTTCAGTTAAATGGTTCAAGCTAGTGTTTCTCCACCAGTTCCTCATTGGGAACTTGGAATTGGCTCTATTGCTTGCCACGCGTGGAATAAAGATAGAACACGTTTGTTTTTTAAATTTGTTTAATTCAGGCACTAACATTTTGGTGTAGTTGGGAAATTTTAAATTTTTCTGGTTCGAGGTTCGAATCCCCTCAATGTAAAACAATTTTTATTTTTAATTTAATTTTTCCTATAATTTTTTAGAAATATTTCTAATCATTTTAACATTTTTTTAAATATTTTAACTATTTTATAATTTTTTAGAAATTGCCGTCTCTCCATCAAATAATGAAATACACATTTTTGAAAAGTCTGGTGATTGTTGGCGTTCAATACATATTCTTTCTGAACATGATTTGCTTATAACTGGAATTGATTGGTTAGATTTATTTTGTTTTTGGGTTATTTTTTTAATTTAAGGGCGCCAGACACAAACAGAATTGTTTCTTGTTCTCACGATAAAAATGCTTTTGTGTGGACATTTGATCCTAAGCAAGGACAGTGGAAACCGGAATTAGTTTGGATTCGAACAAATCGGGCAGCAACGTGTGTAAAGTGGTCACCTAAAGGTTTTTTTTAAATATTTGTAGGTTTAAAAATTTTTAGAAAATAAATTTGCTGTTGGAACTGGGGAACGTTTAATTGCTGTTTGTTATTATGAGGTATATTTTTAATTAAAAATAATTATGAGAACACGATTTCCAATTTGTTTATCAAAACAGAAATTGTTTTCTTATTTTACTTTTTTACTTGTCTTTATAATTCCTCAATTAAAAAAAAATTTTTTTAAATATTTTAACAAAATTTTCTTTTCTTTTTATAGCGTGAGAATAATTGGTGGATATCTAGACAAATTAAAAAACCAATTCGTTCAACTGTTATTTCCCTTAATTGGCATCCAAATAATGTTGTTAGTTAATTTCTTTTAAATTATTTTTTAAAATTAAAATTATTTTTTCAGCTTTTGGCAACTGGTTCTTGTGATTTTACAACTCGAGTATTTTCTGCTTATGTTAAAGAAGTTTTCTTTTATTTTTTTGAAAAGGAAAATATTTTTTTAATTAAAGGTTGATGATAAACCTTCACCAAATCCTTGGGGAACTAAAATGCCTTTTGGTGAATTATTAAAAGAATATAAAACTGGCGGTTGGGTAAATGATGTGGCTTTTTCTCCTTCTGGATGTCGATTAGCTTGGGTAGAGATTTTTAAATTTTGAAAGAAAATATTTTGATGAGGTTAAGGGGGAGGGGGGTTGCAAAGTTTTTTTAGTATTTTTATTTACTCTTTTTAACCTTTTCTCTAAATTAAAAAAATAATTAATTAAGGTATTCTTAAATTAGAAATTTTCTAAAATCTTTTTCTTTAAAAGGTCTGTCATGATTCAACAATTTCAATTTTTGATTCAACTCACAATCAACAACTACCAATCACACAAAAAACACCCTTTTTGCCTTTTACTTCAATTAAGTGGATTAATGAATCTGAAATATTGACTGCTGTTTGTTTTTTTAAATTAATTAAAATTTTATAAATTTGAGAGAGAAAACAGAAAAATATTCTTTGAATTAATTTTAATTTTTCTTTTAAATAAATCTATTTTTAAATAATTAAAATTTCTGTATTTTCAGGGTTTTGATTGTTCGCCAATTCTTTACAATTTTGACGGTTCTACAATTAAATTTATTTGTAAATTGGTAAAAACATAATTTTTAAAACTTTCAAAAATTTTTTTTATTTTAAAGGACGTTCCTTCTGAAAATAAAAATAATCAAGCAAATGTTAATAGTGCCTTTGCAATGTTCCGAAATTTTGATAAAAGGGCAGCTGTGGCAAATGGTGGAGGGGGAAGTGAATTTGGAATGAATAATTCTTTTGCAAAAACTTTACATCAAAACACTATTTTGTAAGTTTTTTTAATTTAAAAAAAAATTTGAATTTTAATGACATTTATTTTTGATTAAATTATTAAACTTAAATTTACATATATAACAATTTAAAAAGAATTTCCAAATTTTTTTCTACATTTACAAACAAATATTATATACATATTTATTATCACAACAACATTTTATGCATATATATCATCATCATTTTCCTCTATATTTCCAGTTTCTCCCTCCTTATCATCTTCCTTTATTTCTGTATTTTTAGTTTCGGCTTCTGTCTCCACTGTCAAGTTTTCTGCTTTCTTCTTGTAACTTCCTTCGTCTTCTTCAAAATCTTTCAATTCCTCATATTTATCATTTTCCTTTTCATTTTTTACTTCTTCTTTATCTTCCTCTCCTTCCTTCTTTTCATCATCATCTTTAATGTTTGTAGCCTCTACTTCAGTAATTCCTTTTATTCCTTCATTTTCTTCAACATTTTCTTCCTTTCCTTCAGAACCCTTTTTTATAGCCAAAAAGTAAACAGCAATTCCAACGACAATAATTATCAAAATACCAACAATCACAATAATTAAAATGTTATTAGAAGAGGTTTTAGCAGATGTTTCTGTGTTTATTGTTGTTGTATTGACGTTTGTAGTTGTTGTAGTAGTCACCAAAGGGATGTTGGAAATTGAAGTTATTAAAGGTCGAGTTGAATTTGTTTTTGTAGTGTCCTTGGAAGTTGAGATTGTTGAATCGTCTTTAGTGGTTCCAGACGTTGTAGAGGGTTGTACAGATTTTGTTGGATTATTTGTTGTTGATGTTTCTTCGGGTGGTGGTGGGGGAGGAGATTCTTTTGTTGTTGTGGAAGAAATGGAGGTCGTCGAATAAGTAGTTGAAGTTGTGGAAGAAGTTGTTGTGGTTGTTGAAGAATTGGAATCTGTTGAAGTGTTTGTAGTTATTGGAGAGGGATATTTGATCAATTTGTAGTCGCCCCCAATCTAAATATTGAAAATGATAAATGTATTATTATATCACTTCACTTACAAATTTTATTGTCAAATCATCGCATTTAGGTCCGCTCGGCAGCCCACTTTGTTCTTCATATTTACGGTTCTTACTTTTAATCCGGTTAAAATTTCGCGATGCCCTTTGAGGGAGAAGATGGAAAACCAGCAGACGCTTCTTCTCAGGATCTGGACTTGTACCGACGATTTCCCATGTTGAAGGCGAAAGAATGCTCTCAAATCCATCCTCCATGCAGAAAGCTGTTTTTTGATAAGGCTGTCCAACTTCCTTCATAAGTTGAATGTGATATTTTTGTTCTTTCTGATTGATTACCACTTGCACATCACCTTTTAGTTTCTGCGGCAATGGCTGTTTAATGACGTAAATAAATGTTGTACCAACTAGAAATAAAAATTAGTTAAGAAACAAAAGAAAACAATTTACTTGGATTTGCATATAACCCCATACGGTCTTCGTCATTGGTGTTTTTAGAATACTTCCATCTAATTTCTAGACCTGTTTTATTGACACACATGCCTTCTCCGCACCCTGGATTACACCCATCACCACCAAATTGTGGACCGTTGTTGAAGTCCTTGATTTCCTCATTTGTCAAGCTGTAGGCAAAGGGTAATCTAAGAAATATTCGAATATTTTTTTTCACATGCTAAACTTACATGTTATCATTAATATCATTGATACTCTTATTTGTACAATCAATAAGTGCAGTAAAATGGTTCAATCCAGCTAAGAAAATAATTTCGTCTACTTTATTCGTGAGAAGGTCCACCGTACATCCTTTGTCTTTTATAGTCCCCTGACTTTTGTAATGGAGAATACTTAAACAAAAAGAATAATTTACATAAACTGTAAATTAAACTTACATATTTCCGACAGGGTCAAAGTCAACATCGCATGCATCAGCGAAACTCTTCTTGTATTCTTCTAGGCCTTCTTTGGTTGTAACAACCTCTGAACCAGCGGCAAGAGTCACTTTTCCTTCCTCTAGAATGTGATTCCCTAGACCGACGCTTTCCGCTTTTGTGTTAAATTGTCCAACCAACATTAGAACAGAAATGGAGAGACCCACGATGTATGACAACATTTTTTGATGAAGATCTGTGAAGAAGTGTGATTTAATAGCCAAAGCTTATTTTCGGCTTTTATAGTACTTATAGGGACACATTTGTAGTTACTATAAAACAGCAACCTTTTTTTAGAAAATAAAATCTCTTTAAAATTCATTTTAAAAGTCAACTTAAAAGCAATAATTTTCAAAATATTTTTAAAAATTGGAAATTATTCTCTAAAATTTTTTTCTAAATCTTCAGAGAATTAAAACTACATAGCGTTACAAATACTTCGAGTAAATTCTCTACTTGTAGTGCTGATGGAATTATTGCTATCTGGGACGTTAATGTTTGTGTGAAAATTTTTTAAATTTAAAAATTTAATTAATTAAATGATTTAGAAATAAATATTGAGAATTTTTAGGGGGAGGGGAATAATTTATTTTAAGTGACACAAATTATTTGTTTTTTTGGTGTATTGGCTACTTTTTAGAATTTACCTCATAAATTACTCCATTCCCTTTATTTGAGACTGGAAAAAATAAAACAGTTTTTAGATTCAAAATTTTTTAAAAGAATTTTTGGATTTCAAATATTTTTGATTAAATTTTTCGAGAAAAGTATTTCAAAATTTAGGAAGTTTTGCAATATTGTCAGGTTGGGAAAAAAGAATATTTTTGTGTGTTTTTTTTGTTTGAAAAATATTTTAAGTTGGGGATTTTTTAATTGCTGTTTTTTTTTTAATTTTAAATTAACAAAAAGAGTTTTTTAATTTAATAAAAAATAATTACAATTTTTTAAAAACTAACCAAAAACTTTTATTTAAAAATATATTTAATATTTCTTTTTTTTTTAAAGAATCTTCAACAGAAAAAATGAAGCAGCTTGTGTTTATTTAAAGAAAAAGGGGAAATATGTAATTCTGCCTAAAAATATTCTTTTGCTTAATTAAAAGTTTTTAAGTATTTTAATTGAAAGGATTAATTTTGATTTAATTTTTCAAAATTAAATTTTGTGATAAAGATCACTAATAATTTTTACTTTTAAGAGTATTTTATATTAAATTTTGTTTACAATTATGCATACAAAAAGAAAGAAAAGTCTCCATTTTTATGGAAAGTCATTGAATTTTAAATATTTCTAAAGTTTAGATTTTAATAGATTCTTCTGTTGAAAAACGTTAAATGATCCTCTATGTTATTTATTTTTTATCCATTACTCAACAGCAAAAGCAATTTTTTTCTGTTTACTTTTCTAATATTTTTTCCTAAAAATTCTTCCTAAAATTAATTTTATTTTTAATTTCAAATTTAATTTTAGCGGAAAGATTTAAAACAAAAATTTCATAATTTTAAGATAAAAACAAACAAAACATTAACTGACACTTTTACTACTCAAAATTACAATAAAATCTTTTTATTTAAACAACACAAACACCTACTAATTATTTATTTATTTTCCTCTTTTTCTACCCATTCTTCTTCGTGTTTGGTTCAACAGTTGTTGCATTCTTATTAATTTTTGAATCGGCAGAATCATCCTCACAAGGAATACAAATACCCAATTTTGTAGTTTTACTTTCACCTTCCTAAAAAATTGAAAAAAATTTTCTCTTTTTTTCTTTTAAATTAACTTTTTCCTTAATTGAGATGAATTCTTTATTGAATTTCTTAGCCTCACAATGAGATTCAATTTTTGCTCCATTTTTGTATTTATCACATTGGCAGGGTCTCTAAAAAAGATTTTTTTAATTTTAATTTTTTCCTAAAAAAACTTACAAGAACAACATAATAAGGACATTTAGCATCCTTATTAGCATCCATGACTTTAGATTCATTTGGTTTAATAATTCTATACATACTTAAAATAAATATTTAAAATTAATTTTTTAAATAAAAATATAATTTACAATTCCATATGTTCATTCTTATTACAATAACGGTTGCAATATGACTAAAAAATTAAAAATTTTAGAAATTAAAAATTAATTTTTTTATAATTGGTTTAAGTCAATAAGTGTGGAACACTTAATTTCTGTTACAATTTAAAATCTTAAAGGTTTCTACTAGGGTTGGACAAAACCGTTTAGCTAAACGGTAAACGGGTTTTTTGGTAAAATTAAACGGAACGGTAAACGGGTCTCAGATAAACGGCATAAACGGTATACGGGGTTTTAAAAATTAAACGGTATTGTCCAACCTTAGTTTCTACTATTAATCGAAAATAGAAATTTAATTACGGATGAGCTAAAATTGGCACTTTTCTGCAAACTCTATATTGACTTCTTTTTATTAAGAATATGTAGTAATCGAGAAATCAAAAACCCAATAAATGCCCCTTTCAAAAACTTTCACAATTCTATCCCAATTTAAATTTCAAAAATTAAAATTTCCTCACATAATCAAATTCAGGCATAGAACCATTAGCAAACGGATAGATTGGACAAACACTTTGAAAATATGCCTCGAATTTGCTTCGTCCAGACAATAAACTCTTGCGCTGTTTAGCATTGTAAATTGCCCTCTACAATTAAATAAATTTTCTTTTTAATTTTTAAAAAAATTATTTCTTACATTATACCAAGACACATTCAAACCCATGAAAAAGATGAGAATAAATCCAGCTATAACCAAACAAACCTTGAAAAGAAAAATTTTTTTTGATTTTTTTTGTATTTTAAGACTTACCCCACATCCACAATAACCATAGCAATATTTACGGACAACAAATTTGTTAAGAAAATGTTTTTTCTTCCCACGTGAAGCCGTTTGTCCACTCGTTGCAGTCATTATTTAAATATTTTGAAGAGAAACTACAAAAAATTTAAATAAATTTAAATAAACTTTCCGGAAAAAAAGAGAGAGAGAAAAAGAATAAATAAGTTGGGAATGTGATGTTGGCTTTTATACCAAGAAAAAGTACTCAGATAATTTTCACTAAAAATTCTTGAATGCCAATTAATTTAAAGGATTCGAGATATAAATGACAATTCTTCGGTTTACCCCTCTCCATTTTCCTGTTTTTTTGAGTTTTTTTTGCTTGACCTATAATTTAGCAAATATCATCCGAAAGAGCTCTTCGAGCTGGGTAGAATGATACCAATATCGGATAGATTTGATAAATCTTAACAAAATTAAGAAGCTGGATTCTCTCTGTGAAAGCTTTTTGTTCCTCCGCTATACTGATTCTAAATTGAAAAAAAGAAAAAGTATTTAAAGGAGGGAATTTGTTAAAAAAGATTCTTTTAAAATTTTTAAAAAAATCCAAACAAATTTAAAAATTTATTTAAAAAACAATTTTTAATTTAAAAATAATAATTTTATATAAAAATATATTTATTTATTTATTAAAAAAATTTCTCTCTAAAAAATCTTTTTATTAAATTTATTTTTTCTTTCCAAAACCCCTTCCATTTAATTTATTGAAATGCTTGAATCCCAGTTATCGCCTTCCCCAAAATCAATGCATGGATATCATGAGTACCTAAATTTTGAAAAAAAATTTTAAGGAAAATATTTAACACCTTCATAAGTATTTACTGATTCCAAATTAACCATATGGCGCATTATCTAAAATTTAAAAATTTAAATTAAAAGAATAAATCTTTACATGATATTCATCTACAATTCCATTACCGCCAAGAATGTCCCTCGCCTTTCGTGCAATATCCAAAGCTTTACCGCAAGAATTTCGTTTAATTAAAGAAATTTGTTCTGGAGCTACTCTAAATTAAAAAAATATTTTTTTCAAGCTAAATTTATTAAAGGAAATAATTCTGTATTTAGAGTTTTAGGGAGGAGAATGAGGAAAAATCATAGGAAACTAATTATATTAGTGAATTTAAGGGAATTTTCCTTCTTTTTAAGACAAAAGTAAACATACTTTCCTTCATCCTTAAGACGAGATACACGCAAACAAGCTTGTAGCCCTATACTTATTTCACTTAACATATCAGCAAGTTTAAGCTGGACAAGTTGAGTTCCAGCAATTGGTTTGTTGAATTGGGTTCTTAAAAGAAATATTTTTATATTTTTTTGTTAAATAAAAATAAACAAATAAATTATTTAAAAAGTTGTCATGGAAACCAAAATTTTTATTTTAAAGAATATTTTTTTTTGTATAAATTAAAATATTTAAAAAGTCTTTACTAAAAATGTCTAAATATTTTTTAAAATTTATTTTAATAATAATTCTTTTTATTTTAATAAAATTAACAAAACAACAAAGAGAAGATACAAGAATAATTAAATGGCAAAATTCTGAAGAATGTAGAGAGGTAAATTAAATAATTTAAAGATATGTATTAGTGGAGGAGGGGGAGAGTAAAATATGTATAATTTAAAAAAGTTGGAGATTGTAAGGGAAAACGACGGAAATTAATTAATTGAAAATAAGGATGACAGTCGAATAAAGGAGAATTTTAACTAAATTAAGCCCTCTCTCTCTTAAAACAAAATTTCTAAAAATAGTTTTTCTCAATTTAATTTTCACAAAATTTTCCAAAAAGAATAAAACAATATTTAATCCAAATTTGATGGAATGTATATCTTGTAATGGATTAACATTAAATGAAAATGAAGATGAATGTGTTTGTCAATTGGGAACAATTAATAAAGGAGATGAAATTGAGGGGATATGTGAAAAATGTGAAAATGGTTATTTAAAATATTTTTTTTAAAAAACTTTTCGAAAAAAAATTCAGGCTTGGCACTAAGCAAAAACAACCAATTTTGTGTTTATTGTGTAAGCATTAATGGAAGTTTATTACAACGAGATAACAACGGAAAATGTCCAAATTGTGGGAAAGATGAAATATTACAAATAACGGGAGAGAAAGAAGATGGAAGTTGGGATTTTTGATAAAAAATAGGTACTTTTCCGTTATACAACCGCTACCTGACAATAAAGTGCTGACGACTTTGATCTTATCGAAGGCTTTCGAAAGATGCTTGTTCCAATACAAATGAATTTTATATCATTCGAAGGCCCTTGATAAGCGGTATCTTTTCTCCAACTTAATGGATCAGGTTTGATCAACCATTAAAAAGGTATAGCCGATAAAAGTTGGCTGGCACTCAGTTTGCGGTCGTATAACGGAAAAGTACCGAAAAATATTTTTAATTAAAAAATTATTCTTTTAAGTTCCAACAGAACAATGCATTAAATGTCCAAAAGGAACAATATCAGATAATAATGGGGAATATTGTATTTTCTGTAAAAATGATTTTGAATGTTTTTGTAATAATTCTGGAGTAATTTAAAGAATAAAAATAAAAATAATTTAAATTTAGAATTCAGCTATTTGTAGTCAGATAACTTCAATTGAAGTCCTTTCTACAATTCCGTTATTGCCTGAAATTAATGAGGGAACAGAAAATTCCTATGGAGAAAAAGTAAAATTCAAATAGAAATTAATTAAAAAATTATTTTTTCTTTCTTTCAAAGCAATTTATTTCTGAGACAATTTCCCAAAAAGTCCAAAATACAGCTTTCCTTTGTCAACAACAAAAAAGTTCAAAACATTGTCAACAACTTGCAAACTTTTGTACATTACAAGATTACCCTAGAAGAATGGATGGAAATGGGGAAAGTTGTTGTGCTTTGTTAGAACAAATAAAAAAACAATTTAAATCAGAAATGTGAATCAAAATTATTTTTAAAATACCTAAATTTGTATTTTAGAGCAAAACAATTAATTCCTCAACTTTTCTATACAAATATTGAAGCATCTGCAGAAATATTTCGAGAGGGGGCAATTAATGGAATTTTTACATTTAACGAAGAAAAAGATGAAAAAAATACAAAATTAGAAATAATTGCAATGACATTTAATGAAAATGGGAAATTTCTTGGTGAATGGACAGTGTCTAATGGAGAATACCCAATATTACAAATTTGTAATTTTGGTATGCAAAACAATTTTAAAAAATATTTTTATTAATTTAAAGAACAAAAAAGGGAAGAAGCATTTAAATTTGGAAGGTATTTTCAACAAAAATGTCAGTTATCTTTGTTGGATATATTACGTTGGAATAAAATTTGGGAGGAGGAAACAAAGGAAAATGAGGAAAAGAAGTTTATTTTTGGGACAAAAACAATATTTTTTGAATTGTATTTACGTTATAGAAATGAAGAAGGAATGATTGTGGTTAGTTTAGATAAAGTGTTTGGAAAGTAAAAAATTTTTTTTTCGTATTCGTATCTGAGCATTTCTCCACTCCCCCCTATTCATATCGTTCACAGGTATGAGTAGGAGTACAAATCTTGATACGAGTTTCCAAACACTGGTAGAAACATATCAAAAATTAAGAAAGAAAAAAAAATACAAAAATTAAAATTTCTCTATAAAATAAAAATATCTAAGAGATATTATAAGAGAAAAGCACAAATTTAATAAATATAAATTCCATAAAATCCCTTCCTTTTTACAAAAAAACAGCTCACACAAATTCCAATACTCAACGAAGACTTAAAAGGTGACCAATATATTGGCTTATATGGAAATCGTTTAGGAGATAATATTTTAAAAAGTAATGCTCGTTTATTGTTAACTAAACGTTTTTATTTGGTTGATATACAAAAAAATATAAAAATAATAAAAGAAGGAGATAATAATGAACAACAAAACACCCAATTTTTAATTCGAGTACCTAAAAGAATTAGTTTACACATTCATTTTGATCAAACATTTGATGGCCACATTTACACTCCATATTTACAACTCTCTCATTTTCAATATTTAATTAAATTAGAAAAAAATATTTCAAACAAAAACAATACTCAATTACTCACAAAAACAATTTTAACTACAAAATTTAGTATTGAATATCACACAGAAAGTTATACTTATGATAAATGTATTGAAGTAATTATGGCTACATTATGCTCGTTGGCAGCTGTTTGGGCAGCATTGCAAACATATAGGTGGATAAAAAAAATAAACAAATCAGAATACTTAAGAGGAGTGGGGAATAAGTGTTTTGAATTTTGGAGAAAAAAATTTCAAATCTGAAAATACAAATTAAAAAAAAGTAAGGGGAGAGAGAGAGATAGAAATGAGCTTAAAAAGAATAAACTTTTAAAAATTTAATATTTAGTTGGAGTCGCCGTTCAGGAAAATTAATTTTAATAGATGCTTCAACAATAATAAAATTATTATTTTTTGGTGCTGACTATATTGGAAATATATTTATTGGGGTAATGGGTTCTGCTTGTATTTGGTTAATTTATGCATATAAATTACAAACAAATATTCATTATATTCCTTTAAGTGGAAATCAAGTTTGTTGTTAATTAAGATTATAATAATGTAATCAGAATAAAAAGGTATTTGATAGAGAATTAAATTTGTTATTAAATTTTGAGTGATTTTTGGAAGTTTTCCGACAAAACTTTTTTGTTAACAAGAAATTTAGATAAATTTCTTTAAAGGAAAATTCATTTGTTGCTTATATGATTTCTGCATTGGCATTAAAAGGAATTGCTTTATTACACACAATGTTGACATTAATTTTGGTAAAAACTTTTTTTATTGACTGGGAACGTCCACGCTTATTTTTAAATAATTTTGATGATTTTGGAAAGAAAAAATTATTTGAAGAAAATAAAGGAAATGAAATTGAAATTGAAAAAGAAGAGGAAGAACAAAAAGAAAGAGGAGATTTAAATAAAGTTGTTATTTGGTAGGTAGTAAATATTTAGAGAGTTTAAATAAGGGTAGCACCCCGAGCCTTCAGGGGCGCGAATGTCGGGTTTCGGGGTTTGTCGGGGTAGAATCTTCGGGGTTCGGATCGGGGGTTTTGCCTAGAAATAGTCAGGGTCGGGGTTTCGGGGGACGGGGTGCTATCCTAGTTTAAATAGTTAAAAGAATAAAAATATTTTGAAGGAGGACATATTTAATTGCAAATGAATGGAATGAATTACAATTATATAGAAAAACAAATATTGGAATACAATTAATTTTAATGCTTTTTGTAATGGAATATTTAAATTTTGGTGAATGGGCAAAAGTTCAGCCAGGTTTTGGAAGATGTAAGGAAGGGGGTTTTAATTAATTAAAATTAATTGTAAGTTGAAAAAAGGAAAGGAAATTTTGGAAAATAAGAAATGGAAATAGAGTGGAAATATAAAAATAGAAATTATTTAATGGAATATTAAAGAATTTAAATGTTGAAAAAACACAAAAATTCTTAAAATAAAGCAATCAGAAAAAAATATTTTTAAAAAATTCCCCAAAAAATAGATAATCAACCTATCGGAGTTATTGAAACTAAAATGAGCCGTTTTGCAATAAATTTATCATTTTATTTAATTATTGGAATCACTCAATGGATTATACAAGTTATTGTGATTGAACGTCTAGCTGATCCATTCCGTAATTTTATGGATTTATGTTCAGTAGCTAATATAAGTGTTTTGGCATTAACACATCCTTTGGTAGAGTTAATTTTTATTTAAAAATTAAAAAAAAATTTTCTAAAAAAGAGAGGTTATTACATCCACGGACGTTCAGTACATGGATATGCTGATACAGATATGTTACAAATGAATACTTTTCTTCAGCGAGAAAAGGTAAAAAATGAGAATTAAATTAGTAATGGATATGTGTGAAATATGAAAAAAATCCAAAAAACTTCGATAATTTGTCTATAGGGGCAAAACATTAATATCAGTAGAATATCCCAAAAATTTAGTGTTTTTAAAGAATTTTTAACTAATAAAGATACTTCTGCCACATAAAATTAAAAAGAGAAAAGTGTTTAATAATTTAAATATTTTTTAGGAAAATGTTTGTGCACTTAGAGGTCTTGAAAGTGGTGCCGATTTACAAACATTTATTTGTAATTTACCTTATATATTTAATGAAAGAATAAATCAAATATTGGAGGGAATGAATTTAAAAGGAATTGGGGATTTTAATGGAAGATTGCAACAAAAAAGTATGTAAAATTAATATTTAGTGGGGATATACTAAATGTTAAATTGTGGAACTTTTAAATATTTAAAGTTTAGTGTAAATATAATTAGAAAATATGTGAGTAACATGAGAATTGACGGACAAACTCTAGGAAAAACTTAAATATTCTTTAATTAATCAAATCCAAAAAAAAAAAACAATTTAAAGGTGGGCAATTTGAAAGAACAACAATAAAAATGCAACAACAAACAAAAATATACAAAGAATTAAATAATTTTTTAAAAGATTTTATTAATCGAGTAGATCCAAAATGTGGAGAATATAAATGTATTGATGAAAATTTTATTGAAGAGATGTTAAATATGGAATTAATTGATACTGGCAAAATTGGGACATTTAGAAGGTAAAAGAAGAAATTGAGTGGAGGGAGGGGGGGGGGGTGTTAACCAAAATGAAATGAGATAAATAGAGGAGAAACATGCAAGCTTAAAAATGACTAGAATTGAAATCCAATCTCTCTCTCAAAATTAAATTATTTTAAAGAGACAAATCAGAAATGGCATATAGTTCAGCATTTATTTATGGAAATGAATGGGCATTAATGTCTTTTGAATTATTATTATTTTGTGTTGTAGACATGTTTTGGCTAAACAGAATATTTGCTTCTGTTTTTGTTTATTTAATTTCAAAATTAATTTTATTAATTACAAAAATATATTTTACTAATCAATTGGCTAAAAGTTGTTTAATTGACAGTAGATTTTTGATTTGAAAGTGATTATAATTAATTAAAGGAGAATAAAAGAGATAAATATTTGAGAGTTTTTGATTAATATTTTTTTTAAATATTTAGAAATAAAAAAAAGAATTCCCAATTATATTTTTAAGTCACCCACCTATCCATAGCATAATCCCTGGCAGCCTGGAAACAAGCTTCAGCTGCTCCAAGCGCTCCCCAACTAATTCCAAGTCTTGCATTATTTAAACAAGCAAAAGGCCCGCTAAGTCCGGTTGCTCCTGTCAATTAAAAATTTTAAAAAATTAATTTCAAATTCCCCCTCTTTACCAGGCAACAAATTCTCTTCCGGCACAGCAACTTCATCCATTAAAATCTGTCCTGTAATTGAAGTTCTTAAAGATATTTTCCCTTCAATTTTGGGTGTTTCCAAGCCAGGCATTCCTTTTTCCAAAATAAAACCCTTTCAAATTTTTAAAAAATATTTTTTATTTTTTGATAGAAAAAACACACCTTAACAGCATTTTCGTGTTTATCACTCCGAGCCCAAATGATAAAAATATCGGCAACTGGCGAATTTGAAATCCAAGATTTTGCACCGCTTAGTCTGTTTAAAATAAAGAGCTGAATTTAACCCAGACTCGAAAAAAACAAAAAAATATTTCCCTCACTTGTAAACTTTTTCCTTTTCATTCCAAACAGCCTTAGTTTCCATCCCTGCAGGGTTAGACCCGTGATTAGGCTCTGTAATGCCAAAAGCTCCAATTTTCTCACCACTAGCCAATGAAGGAATGTATTTTTGTTTTTGTTCTTCACTACCTTTATTGAAGAATTTTAAAATGAAAATTTAGGTTAAGCCCATTAATGTTTAGCAACAAGCCTATTTATTTCAAAATATCATTCTAAGGATTGAACTTGAAACATTTATAAAACTTTCCCAACTTTCAATTAAAAAATTCCCACCATATTGAAATAAAGGCCCAATAACTAAAGATGTTTGTACACTCATAATTGAACGATATCCACTATCAACACGTTCCAATTCTCTAGTAAGTAATCCATAACCAACAGTAGAAACACCTGCACATCCATAACCCTTTTATTTTTTAAATTATTTTTTTAAATTTATTTTTTAAACTTTATAAGGCGCGCCAAGAAAACCCATTTTACCAAGTTCTGGAATCAATGTTGGATCGAATTCTGAAAATTAAGAAAAAGTTATTAAAAGCAGCTTTGTGATTAATTCCTTCAATATAAAATAATCAAAAAATAATTGGATAATCCGAAAGGAATTTGCATTGAGAAGTGTTTCAAGAAAGTCTAAATGTCGGAAGAGTTGGAAATACCACAATAAAATTGGAAATCCCAATTCTCGATGAAAAAAAGAAATCAAGAGAAATTTTGTGATCCTCTCGAATCGACCAAAAACGGCATTTACTAACTAAAATTTATCTTTTTATTTTCAATTTTTTCCTGAAAATTTAACATTTAAAAATTTTAAAAATAAAAGTTTTATTCCCTCCTTACTTTCTTCTCTAAAAGCTTGTGTAACTCTAGGCATTAATCTTTCAGTACAATAAATTCTAGCTTGATCTCTAAGTGTTCGTTCTTCTTCAGTTAATTGATCATTCAAACAAAGAGCATCCAAATAATCAAAATTACTTTGATAAGGCATTTGGGTTGTTTGATTTTTTAAAGAATTTATAAAAATATTTAATGGAGTGAGAAGAGAAGAAGAATTTTTTGTGAATAAAGTTGTTGCTAAAATAAAAAAAAATGTTGGGAAAAAAGGAAGAGGGGGGAAAGGGGGGAGGGGGAGAAGAAAATAAAATTTTATATTTAAAATTTAAATTTTTTTTCAAAACATCCTCTAAAACTAGGGTTCAACATTTACGGTTAGGTGGCTGTTTTCAAGGGGACGGTGGTTGCGGTGGTTTTTGCCACGGTGACAGGGGCGGTGGCTCTGGGGGGAGAGCCTCCCACCGATCCCGGGGACGGTGGCTGAACGGTGGAAAACACCTCCTCAAGCTTCCTTACCGGCCTTTTAAAAAAGGTTAATTTTAGAATTATAAGTAAAATATTCTCTCAAAAATATAAATTCTTAAAAAATAATATAAAGAAAATAAAAAGTTCTAAAAATATTACAGCTCAACAATTAAAGAATTAAAAATTTTTTTTAAATTTTTAAAAATATTTTTAAAAGAATTTATATTTAGAGGAAAAATAAAAATAAAATTTATTTTTACTTCCAAATAGAGCAGAGATTGATTTTATTACAATTTTTAAGATTATAATCTCTAAATATATAAAAAATAAATTACAGAAAAGGTGATTATTAGAAGAAAGAAAAGTGGGTTGGGTTTTCATTAGTATTAGCTATTTTAGAGTCTTAAGATATTTTAATTGGACAGAAATTAATTTCGAAAAATTGGGAAAGGGAAGGATTGTTTTTGAAAGAACATACCCCCCCCCCTCTCGTTTTTCTCAATTTCAACAGGATACGAAAAAATAAATTCGAAATTTGTAGAGAAACTAACCCGAGACATTGGCCTCCCCAATTAATTAAACGGAAAAAGCTCACGCCATTAAATTTAAATCAAAAATTAACTAAATAAACTCACCTTCCCTCTGTCTGCTAAAAGAATTTTGTCTTATTTGCAAAAATGAATAAAATAATTTTTGTTGTTTAAATAAAAATAAGGATTGATAATTATACATAATTTTAAATTACTAAAAATTTAAAATTAAATTAAAAAAAAGTTCAAGTCACACCACAATTTAACAAATCACAAGTAATTAATCAATAATTAATTCTTTCATAAATTTCTAAGAATTTTATTTTTCTTTTTTTGTCTTTGGGAATTAAAAAATAATTTTTAAAAAAATTTTAAAAATTAAAAAAATATTTTATTTTCATACAAAAAATTTTAGTTTAAAATCTAAATGAAGAAAAATCATATTTATCCAAATAACAAAAAAAATTCTATGTACAAAATGGACACACAAACCAAAACTTTAAATTTAGAGAATTATTTTCATTAAAATTTATTTAGAAAATTGTCTGTCCATTATTTAAAAACAAATAAATTTAATTTTAATTACAGAAAAAAGAAAAAATAAATTGAGTATTTTTTGAGAAAGCAAAAACAACTAAATGGCTTTCCAAATATTAAAAATATATTTAAAGGTTAAAGTTAGAATTTTAAAAAATTGTTAGGTAAAAAGTTCCTGATTAATTTTAAAAATTAAAATAAAGGACCACAATTATTCATTACTGGAGCTTTCTGGCGAATCAGGTAAATCAGCATCTGCATCAACTGTATCTGAAATTTGTGACAATAAACGACAGAATTCAACTGGAGCATCTGCATAAACATGGTGACCGGCACAGGAAACAATCTGAAAGTTTTTTAGAAATTAAAGAATTAAGAATATTAAAATAATAAAATTAAAAGTCAATCTAACATTAACCCAGAAATATTCGATCAGAATAAAAATTTTTTGTATTTTTTCCTTAAATACTATCAATTGCCAAATAGGAGAATAATAAAATATTGACTCGAAAAATAATTTAATATTTTAAATAAAATTTCAAAAACCTGAACATCCACATAAGAAGTGTCCTGTCGGCGTGCTTGTATTTCAAATGACGGATCTGGATCCATCCAAGACTTTCCTCCCCAAATAAATGTGACGGGAACTGACGGATCGATACCATTAAATCTTTAAAGTTAAAAAAATTGAAGATTTAAAAAATTACAAAAACCTATTAATCATTGGCCGACGAGCCCAGCCATAGTGTTTAGTCATTGAAGAGAAAGCAATCTCCCCTTTAATTTTATTTCAAAAAATTAATTAAAAATTTAAAAAACCTGTTGGATTCAAAGCATTACATTGATAAATATATTCAAAAATAGCATCCGGATCCTGATTAGAATATCGAATACCCAAATCTGAACGTAATGTTCGAACCAAACGAGAACCTTTTTGATAAAAAATTATTTTAAAATTTTTATTTACCAAATGGTCCTGCCGCCCTTAAAATAAATAAAAATAAACAAAAAAATTAATTAAAAAACCTCAGTGTAGCCAAAGGATTAAATGTGGAGAGAACTTTGCCAAACGCACGCATCCAAACAGGAATATGACGCTTTAATAAATAAATTTTAAAATAAATTTAAATTCTGATTTCGTATTTAAATCTTTAAAAACTTAGAAAATTAATTGTAAAAAATCGAAAAATAAATTAAGAAAAAAAATTTAAAAAAAACCTGTTCAACATGAGGGCGTTCAGGAAATCCCCACGGATCAACCAATACCAAATGACGAATTCTCGAAGGATGCTCCAATGCATAGGATGAAGCTAAATATCCACCTGAAAAATTTTTTAAAAATAATTTTTAAGCAAAAAAAACCAAAAGAATGCCCAACAAGTATCATCTTTTCAATTCCCATTGCTCTACGCCAATCCTCTATTGATTGGACAAATTCTAATTCAGCCAGAGTTGGGTCCTCACTAAACATAGGACGGCTAGAGCGTGCAAAGCCTTTAAAATAAATTAATAAAAATTTTAAAAATTAAAGAAAACAAACCCAAAATATCAAAAGCATGAACGGTTCTTTTCTTACATAATTCATCCAAACAGGCAGCCCAAATACCAATACCAGCGGCAAATCCATGAACAAGCACAAATGGACATTTACTTTCTGAAGACTCGGCCGCTAATTTTGCTGTAAGTGTGGCGACAGAACTATGCCAAAGACGAACCTAAAAATTAAATTTAAAATAAAAGAAAATCGAAAAATTTTGTCTAAAAAATTATTTTTATCGTTTAAACTATTTTTAATAAAAATTTATGTTGGGAAAATTAAAAATAAAGAATGGAAAAAATAATGCTCCGGGAGAGGCTCGAACTCTCGACCTTCAGATTATGAGACTGACGCGCTGCCGACTGCGCCACCGAAGCACTGAAAGGTAAAACAAAAATATTGGCCATAAATTAAAGAGAAGTGAATAGTTAATTTAAATAACGTAAGGAGAGCCTTATTCTACCTATTAAATTAATAATTTACTTAAAATATTTTTTTTATTTTAATTTTAAATGAGAACATTAAATAAATATTCTATTTTAAAATAACAAAAAAAAATAAAAAAATTTACCGGCACAAATTTTCTAGTAACAAAGGAAGTTACACCTCCAAGTAAACGAGTTTCAGCCCCTTCCAATTTTCTGGTTGATGCTCTACTCCATCGAAGCCAAGAACTTTAAATTAAAAATTGATTTAAAATTCGTTTAAAATAAAATAATCAAAAAAATTAAAAATTAAATTTTCTTACAAAAAACCTTCCCCAACAGGCTCAGGTCCAGTAGCAATATGTAAAGGTAATCCACCAGTTGATTGATATTCATTATTTATTGTTTCTATAATATTAAATGGAGCTGAAGGTTGTTGTTGAGGGGATAAAGTTGATGAATCCTGTGTGTCGCCTTCATTAAAGATCGCCATTTATTTTATTTTTTACTAAAAATTTTTTAAATATTAAACAATGGAAGAATTTCAAAAAAAATTTTTTTAAATAAAAAATCAGCTGACTAAACAAAAAAAGAACAAAGTTACAAACCCCAAACTCTATTTACTGAAAATTATTTATTTTTGAGACTCATTTGTAATTAAAAAACACAACGCCAATTTCATATTATTTTTAAGATTTGAATATTGTACCATAAATATTTTCTGAATCCTTAAATCACATATAATGGAGATCGAATCGAGACGAGATCTCGAACAAAAATATTGGTTATCGAGAATCACTATTTTTCGAAATAGCGAGATCGATTCTTGTATGTCCCTCCAAGCCTCCAAATCCTATCTTTAATCATCATAACTCTATCTTGGTTATATTTAAAAATGCCACTTTGGAAGTTAGTTGAAAAATAAAGCCTTGTGTGGAATTATTTCAGAAAAAAAAATATTTTTATTTTTTTTTGAAAAATATTTTTTTCAATTTATTTTTTAATCGTTTTCTTAAATTTAAAACGGCTTTTCACACTTCTCACATTTGTCCTAGAAAATTTATGGAGCCGAACATCAAAACAAATATTTATTTTTCTTTATTGTCACCACTTCCTTTAATAAACGCGAGAGAGAATATAAATAAATAAATAAAAATATTCTAAAAAATGAGAAAAATTTTAAATAAATTGGAATGGATTTTAAATTGTTTTATAAAAATATATTAATAAAACTCTAAATTCCATTCATTTTAAAGACGTTTTTTCTCTAGAAATCGACACATTCCCTAGTTAAACCATTTCTAGTGTCTTTGCCAAAATTGTATAAGAAATTAATTAAAAATTTTTTTAAATTCATTATCTTCCATTTATGGCTTGTCTACTCACGTGATTCTCAGAAATTCGAGAATCAGTTACCAAGTAAACCCCCTCACCCCCCCCCCCTAACTCTCCAATTTGGAAGTTAGATGAATGTCGCATCCTGCGAATTACTCATTTAATTAAACTTATGAAATTACGAAATCTGTTAATCACTGAAATTCTTTATTCACTTTCTCACACAAACTTATTACAAAATACTTTCCTGTAAATCAACCGCTATAAAAATAGCTGGCTTTTCCCCCGTTTTATCTATCTCAGCGGTCATTAAGCTCTCTTTGGATCACAATCTGTCCCCTTTATTATAAAATTATATGCTTCTTCCCTTGTTAAATTAATTGTAATTTTCATTGTGAAATAAATAAATTATTAAACGTTCGAATTAATAATTAATTAGGATTCCCCATAAATATAGGACCATTTCCTACATGAAGAATAAAGTTACATATCTACATGCTCTCTAGTTTTTTTCAACATTACTAAAGAATTGTTATAATAAATATTTTTATACTTCAAGCTTTGTTGTTGCCGCTGTCATAACAACAAATAGTCCGAAATTAGAAATGAAATAAAAAAAAACAAAAAAAGTATGTCTACTACAAGAAATTAAAATATAAATTTTTTTTATTTATTCTGCGCAAATTGGATATTTTTTGAAAATAAAATATTTTTGTTTAGATAAATTTGTTTGTATTTATTTTGCTTTAATAAAGCTTGGCAAGAGTTGCATTAATTACATTTAAAAAGTATTAAATCATTTTATAAAACATTTAAAAGTCTTTTAATTAAGTAATATTTTTCCAAAAGTTTTGTTTCCTATAGCAGTTTACAAAACATTTTAATTTCAAGAAATATCATACAAAATATTTAAATTTTCCTTCCGGAAAACTTTATTTTCTTTTCTTCACTTTCTACCTTCTCCCAAAAATATTTAATAATAATTTATTTATAAATATAATCAAAAAATACCAACAAACTTTCTCAAGTACCTTTCCTCGGCCTCAAATAACTTCCCAAAAATATTTTTTTATTTATCGTGTTTTTTCCTCCTTCTTTCAGTTTTTTTCCTTCCTTCCTTTTAATTTTTAAGCACCAAATGACCGTCGCGCGTAGAAATCACCGTCTGCGGCCTATAATTTTAATAATATGGAGGCATAGGTTTTCTTCTCAATTTTCTTTTTTCTTCAGGACAGGAAAGAATTAAACAATTGTGGAGGTCGCGAAAAAAAACAAAACAAGCTTTTCTTATGCAACACATAAACCTGGGAAAAATATTGGAATTTTAATGATATTAAATAAAAGTTACAAGGACAAGGCAGAAAATTGGGGGAGAGAAAGAAAAGAATTATAATTTAGGTATATTTTAGATTTTTAGGTTACTTATAATTTATTAGTAAAATTACAAGTTTATTAAATTTTTACAATTTGACTTTAATTTAAATTTAAGTCTTTATAAAAATCAAAGCTTTACTAAAAATAAATAAAACTTTCCGGAACTGTTTATGTAATTAAATTAAAACCTTAAACTTTGAACTTATTAGTAAAAGTTTGAAGTTTAAATAAACTTTCCATAAACCAATTTTTTATTTTATTCAACAATTAAAAATTATGTTTATACATATGTATGATTTATTAGAAATTAATTCCTAAAAAACATTTTTATTTTAATTTTTTAAATTTCGTTTCTTGCCTTTGTTCCTCCACAAAACCAAAAAACATTTTTAATTTTTATGCTCTAATTCTTTTTTTTCCTATTTTTAATTAAAAGATTTTAAAAATTTAAAATGAGTCATAAAATTAAAAAAATATTTTTTTATATCCAATTAAAGGTAACAAAAAAGTTTATGTGTCAGTAAGCAGCAAACAAGGGGCGGTGAAAGCCTTTTTCGCGGTTCTTTTCCCCAAATCTTTTTTAATGTTTTCATCCATTTCATAAACACATAAACGGATTAGACAATTTTGAATGATTAAAAAATATTTTTATGTGAAAGGTCCGGATTTTAAAAATTTTGAAAGTATTTTATCTTTTACTGAATTACCTTTGCGAAAAAATCCTTTTAATTAATTAATTAAAAACATTTTTTATATTTATCTTAGAGTGCTTTTCTCTCTCAAAAAAATAAAGGAGAGAATATTTTGGCGGCATGAATTTTTGATCAATGTCACCAATTGATAATGATGGAGAAAAAATATCAAAAGGAACTTAAGGAAATCCGGAATTAGACGAATATCTACTTTTTCTTTTCTCTCCTTTCTCTCTCAAATTATAGAAAAAATTAACAGAAAATATTTGATAGAATTAAAATACTGAAACCCATTCGGAAAAGTATTTCTGAAACTTTAAAAAATAAGAACCTTTAGAAACCTTTTAGGAAATTATTTAAAAATTTCCCAAAAGCTTTTTTATCAAAACTTTTATTTTTTTTTAAATATTAGGTATTATTGATTATTCGAAATTTATTCGAACAAATCATTAGTGTATTTTCATAATTATTATTGTGAAAAAAAAGATACCGTAAATACTGTAATTAAAGCCCTGGGCGTCTATTTTTCGATAGGTCTTCTTGGGTGGGCTAATAGAGACGGGCTTTAATTAGAGCATTTACGGTAAATAAATTTGCCAGAAACATATTAATTTTTATTTCTGTTTGGTTGTAGGTTTTTACCAGCAGAATGTTACTCAATTCAAACAACAACAAAAACTTCAACATAATAATTAATTTATTATTAAAATTCTTTCAATTTTTATTTTTTAATTTTAATTTTTCAATTTTATTTAATTTATTTTCTTTTAATTTAATACAATTAACAACAACAATTAATTCTTCATCTCCTCCTAATTTTTCTCCAATTGTTTTCCCTCCCCCTCCTCCTCCACCACAAAATTTTTTAAGTTCAAATTGTGGCTTCCATTCAAAAAATTATACAATAAAATGGGCATATGAGCCAAAAACCAGAAATGTAGTTTTTGTAATGAAAACAAAACTTCCCCCAATTAATACTCGTGAAAAAAACATTTCCTTTGATTCTAAACAACAAAAAACACAAAAAATGCTTACAGGGATTGCTTTTGGAGATAAAGTTAAAACGAAGAAATTTATTTTAGTCTTTAAATTCATTTAAAGGATCAATTAGACTTTATTGGAATATCCTCAATAAATGATCAATTAGATTTAGTTAGTGGTCATGGTGAATGGCAACTTAGACAAGAAGATGTTGGCCACACATTTTTTGATGGAGAAAATAAAAAAAATCGTCCTCCATTAATTCGAATGCGGGGACCTCTTCACGTAATAATTAACAACACTGGAGGGGAAAATGGACATAATAATCAAAGTGGGGCTTTACCTATACGAGCAATTTCGTTGAAAAAGC